GCTGGGAGGAGGGAGGGGTGAGACGCGCAGGGTAAGGGAAGGAAAGGGCTCAGCAGTTCCTGGCTTGGGCATCCGATGCTGACGTTATTGACCAAAATAGGCAATGTGGAAGCAAGAGCAGCTTTGTGCCAAAGAGAAGATTTTGCCTGAGTATAGTAACCAGTGAAAAACAGGATGGAAGGATCCTGTAGTTGGCTGGAGGTTCAGATCTGCAGCTCAGAAGAGAGGCGTCTGGAAACATGCAGTTATTATGAAACGTAGTGGAAAGCAGGGTAGTCACGGCCTCATTGTTCATTCAGTAAATTCAGAGGTTTCTCTGCAGGGAAGGTGGTGGCAGGGTGCAGGCTTTGACGGTGAGCAAGCCGGACATGGGTTTGGTATGCACAGAGCTGATGGTCTAGCAGGGCAGGTGGACAGTAAATGCACAACTGCAGTGGGGTAAGTGCCAGAGGGCAGCCCTTGTGGTGTGGTGCAGGAGTGGTGTCCACACCCAGCAGGGAAGGCTTCTCCAGAGTAACAGGGCATGAGACGAACACACAGAATGAGTGTGCCGGGAAGGGTGGGCAGATTGTGTGTGCTCCGGTGGAGAGGGCAGAAGAGCCGGAAGGAGACAGTGCGCTCCAGAATGGGAAGGTCTACCCGCCGAAGCACAGAGGCGGGGAAAGTGCTTTGGGGAGAGACTAGCAAGGGTGCTGGGACCGGGCTGTGCAGAGGCTTCTGGGCCCAGTGGGCACAGGGAGGAAATGCTGGTCTCGTCAGAATGTTGTTGGGGGGCCTGTGAGGAGGTTCCAGACGGGGGACGCGTGGTCCAGGAGGAACAGGGAGGGGATGATAGATGCATGAGAGCAGAACTTAAGTTTGGAAGAGGAGCCAAGGGGAGGGCCGGGAAGTCCTGGTCAGAGAGAAACAAGGCCGGGGGAGGTTGTAGACAGCCAGAGGGGACCAGCCAGTGGTGCGGCTGGGCTCCTGGTGACCCTCGTGGGACAGCCACACTGCTGAGCCGAGAGGCCCCCTCTCTCCAGCTCTGAGGGAGCAGGGGCTGCATGGGCAGGAGCCTGACTCACCAAAGTGCAGCCACCACAGAGGCTGGAGACCGCAGAGCCTGAAAGGGGATGCTGGGACTAGGTCCCACCAGCCTGCTGCGTGCAGAGAGAGCGGGCGAGCATGTGGGGCTGGCCGAGCAGTGTGGTGCCCTGGCAGCTCCCTTTGAGTCAACACGGAGAGAAGACCTCGCTGTATTAAGTGTCCTTGGTAGGGCATTGTGGGAGTTCCTCCGTGTCATGCACGGTCAGTCTAGGTGCCCAGATTGTGTGAGTGACTTTCCACCTCACAGATGAAATGTTTGTGACTTTTTCCGTAGGTTAGAGATTTTATTTGATGTTTCTATTGGATTGTGTCCAGATTTTTATTTCAAGAATTGTGTACTTTTAACAGTAAAAGAGTGAGACCCAGACAATGCCCCCCCAATCTTTCATTAGTAACTTAGTTCCCTTGATGCGGTAAGCCTCAGTGTGGGCACCAGGTCTGGGGGTGGCCCACGTCCTGCCAGTCAGCGGGCCTTTGGTAGTTTTACATGGATTTAGTCCCATCTGAGTGGACTCAGCTTTCTTCTGTCCCCTGTCATTTTTTTAGTTCTTAACGCTTTTTTTCTAAACAGCTTTGTCAGTTCCCTTTTTTTTAATTGCAAGTCTCTTAGTCACTTTGGGATGTGAAAGACAGACAGTTTTTACACGTAGCTATTGATTATTGTCTTAATCGCTGTTTTTTAATGGAGAGATCTATGAAGAGTAACAGCAAATTGTTTCGGCCTTATGGACAGTCCCCTTCCTTTTCATTCTGCCCACGCATTGATTACGGGTTGAGCTCAGCCCCATGGCCACTTTGCTCGGTCAGAGCCAGCCGCTTGGCACCACTTTGAGGTTCAGGGTCTAGGGTCTGTGCTGTTGTGTCAGGCACTTGAAGGAGAGTGAAGAGGGCCCAGAATGTCTCTGTCATCACCTGCTTTGTCACTGACAGTGACAAGCTGAGCCCCCTGGCCGGCCTGGACCCATATACCCCTCACCTCTTCCCAAGTGTTCAGGAACACACCCCTCCACACTGTTGCCAGAACTGTGCTGTCGCCCCTAAGGAGAGGCCTCAGGAGGTCGTTATCAGGAAGAGCACCCCGAGATCAGGCGGCGTACCTCTGGGGTGTCTGCGACAATTACTGGCGTGGAACCATCACCTGTGCAGGCTGGCCAAGCTGTTCGGCTACCTGACTGTAGTTAGTGATTAATCTTGAAGGTTCTAAGAGTGCAGTGTTGTTTTTTGTTTTGTTTTGAGGGGAAATCCACCTGACGTTTTAAAGTTTACCATTTTAAAAGGGTGCCGTTCAGTGGCATTCAGTACTTGTACATGCTGGGGTACCACTTGCTCTGTCTCATTCCAGAACGTTCTCAGTGCCCCCAAAGAAGGCCCCCCACTCATAAAGCAGGTGCTCCCATTCCTCCTTCCCCGGCTCCTGACGACCCCCAGTCTCTCTGTCTCTGGATTTGTCTGCTCTGGCCGTTTGCGTGTAAATGGGATCGCGCAGTACACGACCTGTCGTGTCTGATGTGTCTCACCCGGCATAATGTTTCTGAGGTTCATCCCCATCGCAGCACATATCAGTACTTCACCCTTTCTGTGGCTCAATTTCATCATATATATACCAGATTTTGTTATGCATAGCCATGACAGAATGTAAAAATTTGCATTGATAGCAACTGCCGTAGTAAAGGTACCATGGTTGTTCCTGATGTACCTCTTTGTTGAGGTTTCTGAGGTAGCTCCTAGCTCAGCCCACCCTCCCTCTGTCTTTGGTCAGCTTACTGCCAACGCATATGGGATCCTCCCTAATCAATCAGTTAGATTGATTTTAGGAGAGAATATAACCCTGAACTCTTTGTTTAGTTCTTCTTGAAGTTCAACTTTACGAAATAACGTATAGAATATGTTTACCATGTATTCCCCTAGAATCTACATTAGCATTGCACACTGCAGCCCACAGACTAGCTGCCTGTGCTTGTAAATAAACTTTTATTGGTGCACAACGTGCCCCTCATGTGCATGTCTGTGTCTGCTTCCACTGGGGCAGCAAAGGTGAGTTGGTGCAGAGACCAGAGGCTCCTGATGTGGCTCATTGGTTCTCCACCTTGCCCTTCCCTCTAAGGAACCGATAGATGGGCTGAAAACAGTCAGTGAAAACTCTGAAATTTTATGTGTACCAATAGGTTTTCCTGGAGAGGGGATCTGTGACTTTCACCAGATTCCAAAAGAGACACCAGGCTCAAAATGATCAATAGGCGTTGTTCGAAGTAGACATATGTTGATTCCCTGTGCTACCCTCGGTTGATAGTTCTCACCTGTCAGTCCCAAGACCCCTCTACGCTTTAAAATATTATTGGAATCCCAGAGAGCTCTTGTTTCTGTCAGCCATAGCCACTGGTACTTATTATATTAGAAATTAAAACGGAAAGTTTAAAAATATTTATATATTTGAAGATAACCATAATAATGTAAATCCATTTCGTATTTACTATACATTACATTTTTGCAAATATCTTCCATGTCTGGTTTAATAAAAAATAGGTTCTCAGATCTTCTGCATTTGTTCTGTTGTACACAAGTCGTGTAACCCCTGGAAGCCTCGACTTCACCCAAGTCGCTGGTGAGAAAGGCGCTGGCCAAGAACTACAGGGAGGGTAGTGTTAGGGTCCGCAGACCACACTCGGGGAGCTGCGTGTTCCGACTGCATTGTCTTAGTCTCCTGCTCTGCTGTCCCCCGCTCTTCGGGCACCTGCCCGCACTGAGGGGTGCCCACAGAACAAGTTTCGGGAGCACTCGCCGTGTTTGCCCTGGGGTTCGGGGGTGTGTGGCCCTGGCCCCTGAGGAGCCGCCCCGGCACCCCTGCCTCCAGCGCCCGTGCCTGAAGCAGAGCTGGGCCTCTTCCCAGCCACTGCTGGATTCTGAATCCAGTGAAAACAAAGTTTCCTAACTGATCCCTTTTTCTGATTTGTTTTGGCAACTGGGACACTCAAAACCCAACTTTCAGCTCCCTTTTGACTCTACTATTTGGTGTCTTGTCTCTATCTTATTTCTTTCTTTCTTACTTTCCCTCCTCAACTTTCTCATCTACATCTTGCTCTACATTTACACATATCCATAAGTTACATTATAATTTATTCTGTGTTTCTCAAAACGGTCTCATCTTTTTTTGAACAAGATTCAGTACAAATCCTTTTAAGGAAAACTTTTTCCTTATTACTGTGTAAAGCCTTGGCATCTAGTAGATCATAGAGCCTGCTTGATTTACAGGTGTCAGTGAATCACTTTCATTTCTGGTGTTTCTTTCACCAAGTTACCTTAGGTAAATAGAAACTTAACCGTCCTATATCTGAAAGTGTGAAGATGTTATTTTGTTTCATTATATACTATATATAGTACAGTTACTTGGCAGTTTGGTTATTTACCGCCTACCCACAGCCTCTGCCCTATTTTCCCATTTTATTTCTGTCTCAGGTACGCAGGCAGTCTTGCTGCTGGTATCATCATTCTCATTTAGTCCTGACAGTTTTTTTGCACCTGATTTTGGAACTTTTCGTGAATTATTTTTAACATTATTCTTAGTCATGTGTGTACGTTTTTATCAGTGTGGTTCTACTGATTGTTTAGAACAGTGGAGTATCCAAGCTGTGCAGCTCTCCTCCCGTTCACTAGGGTCTTCGGTCAAAGCGAGAGGGGGCCCTGCGGGCCGGCCGGGCTGCCGTGGTCGGGCCTGGGGCGCACCCAGCCCCGCTGCATCAGAGGCTGCCTGTGTGTCCTGGTGTGCACTGTGCGCAGCAAACCGGGTAGAGATCAACATGTATTTTGTATGGAATACTGATTCTCATAATTTTTTGAAGATTAGACTTTGTATATTTGTCAGTATATAGATGCCATCGTTTTGATTTTCAGAAGCTGTGTAGTCATGTCAGCTGATGAAGCGCGAGGCTCTGTCCTGTAATTCCGAGGAAGAGTCAAGTCGCACAGGAGGGGCCCAAGCCCAGCTGAAGTGTGGGTGTAGTGAGAGGACGGGGAGACCTGGGTCGGCCTCAGAGGCTCTCTTCTTCTGCGTCCCAAAGCATAGGCTTAAGTCATCACAGAGGGACAAGGTCCGCCAGTTCATGGCGTTTACTCAGGCTGGCGAAAGAACTGCCATCTGCTGCCTGACGCAGAACGAGTGGAAACTGGACGTGGCCACGGACAGCTTCTTCCAAAACCCAGGCTTGTTCCACGAGGAGCCCATGAGAAACTCGGTGGACAGGAAGAAGCTGGAGCAGCTGTACAGCAGGTACAAAGGTAAGGGCGGCGGGGCAGTGCACAGACACGGCCATGTCTAGGGGACAGTGGACGCGTGTTCCTTGGATTTCTGGTGCGCGCTGGGAAGACCTCCAAGGTGCTGCCCCTTCTCTCCGTGGTGCTCGGCTGCCCACCTCAGTCAGTTCAAGTGACCGCTGTAGACTAGGGAGGGGTGAGATGAGAGGCGTGCGGGAGGGCTGGGCAGTGAGCCCTCGCCCCTTGTGCTGGGCAGGCTGAGGTGTTGACGACCAGGTGAGGCTACTTGCTGCTCTGAGGCCAGTGTTGGCCAGGCGGCTACCTCTTTAATGCAGTGTTTTTTTCCCAGGCACTCCATTTAAGCTGGAATGTTTGTGGGGAGAAGGTTGTTTAAGAACAGCACCAGATCATAAAAATAATTCTGTCGTGAGGGTAAGTCATCCTCCCAACCCAGAGAGCAGAGCCTATGGCTCCGGACAGCTTCTGGTTTCTGTAGGCTTTGGGAGATGCTCTTAGCTAAGACCCCTTGGTGTTGTAAATTGGGAACAGCTGTTACTTGCATTAAATCAGCACTTAGCGTGTTCTCTACCAAATACAGTCATGCTGCAAAAGCAAGCCTGCGTGTGGAGCCTGTGTGCTTCCGGATCACCCGGCAGGCCTGAAAGGTTCCTGTCCAGCGCCAGGTCTGCGCCGTCGTGGGGCAAGCAGCAGCGACTCTAGAGCTGATGGCTTTTTCTTTCTGGTTTCTAAGGCTAATCTTGTATTTCCAAAACTTAAAAAAGAAAACTCTTAAACAAGTATTAACCCAAGCAGAATAACTCCTTTTGTTTTAAAGTCTTTTTTATAATTGTCATTTTTTACTTCTGGAAACACTGCGTATATATATTTCTCCTTGTTTCTTTCAATCCAAAGTGTGTCTTTTGTGAACAGCACAAAATTGGATCATGTTTCTATTTTATCATTTCTTCTAGTCTCTCCCTTTTATTTTTTAAATTAAAAATTTTTATATTGAGGTACATACAAAAAAATACACAGATCTTCATGTACAGCTCGAAGTGTTTTGATGTGTGTACAGGCCCACATAACCACCACCCAGACCCAGACCTCAAATGTCCTCACTAATTTTTTTCTCCCTTCACCTATTTAACCCCCAGCACCCTCTCTGTGGCGGCCACCAGTCTGTTCTGTGCCTGGTACTCTATTTCAATTTCACTTGTTTTTTTTTTTTTAGGTTCCACAAATAAGTGAAATAATAAAATATTTGTCTTTCTCTGCCTGGTTTATTTCACTGAGCATAATGCCCTGTGTATATATTTTAATCTATTAAGTTCTGAAAAATAGATTGAAAATTACATTCTTTTTAAAAATCTTGGTTCAGAAACATCTTCTGTGGTTTAAAAAAAAAAAAAATTTGCTCCTGTTGTAGTTCTCAAAAAATAAGCATTGTTTTTACTTAAGCTTTAGTGCGCTTTAAAGGTTTTGGTGAGGTTAATCAAGCTGATTTTGGAAGTCATGGCCATGCAGACTTTTCAAGTTATTCAAATAGGTGCTGCTGCTTTTGAAAAAATATTGTTATGTAAGTGAAAATTGCCTTTATTCTTTAGTTTAAATTTGATCCCTTCATCATTTAGTCTTAGTCATGCAATTCTAGCCATTTAAAGTAGAAAAATGGTAATTCATTTTGGGCTGTAAAATTAAATACATAGTTCAAAAACTATTGAAATAAAATATTGGTCACTGTGTTAATGCATGCAGATGAATGAGTACTTCCAAAACTACCTTAGAGTGTTCAATATTATTGTGTATGAAATTTACCAGGGTGGCTAGGTGAGAGTAGTGTAGACCAGTTTTTCAGATATCCCAGATATCTATTTTAATACTGGGAGCCCAGAAGTGAATAATAAGGTAAGGATTTGTACAGAACCTTTCCTCCGAGAGCACATAGCTACAAGTGCTGCCTCACTAAGGTAAGAGATAAGAGTTTGAAGGATATTTGTGGTGTCATTCACTGAACTTATGTCATTTTTTTTCTTTAGCAACACTGTATATGAAAGTGTAGTATATATGGCTTAAATGGCCAAAGTTAGATTTTGTGTGACAGAAGATTATCCTACTTATCATTTGAGCCAAAGAGCTACAAGTTTTCTACTTGTACCTTCTAAGCCAACAGAATTAATGCATACATTATGTCTGAAATTACTGGGTCTGAAATTACTAGGCCTAGTTTGGTGAGGTCTTGCTGGGATTCCTTTAATAGATTTTACCTTGTAATTGACAGATAGAGAAATAACCGAGTTCCTTCATTTCACTTCTAGACCAGAAATGGGGGAGGGGGGAAGCCTGAATTTCTAAGCTATTAAACGTGGATGCATAAACTAAATGATTTTGAAAAATAAGTATTGTACAGTAGCAGTACAATTATAGCAAATGAAATTACTCTGAAAGTCAAAAAAGGTTGATCTTTCTTTTGCTATTGCAGGGTTGTGATAAAAACCTAAATACTGTAAATGCTTTACTAATGTGGTGTTGTCTGTAACAGTTTGTTTGCCTTTGGGCCAACTAAAATTCTGTAAACTCAAATTTTTATTTTACTTCAAGGAAATCAATTATTTTTTAATGATAAAGTCTTCTCAAAGATGTTTCAATGATTATTTCACCCAGAAATCTAGGTTTTTAAAATAGGAATATTATCTGAATAAATTATTATTTGTTGCAATTTCTTTCACATATAGTAGAAAAACTGCAGTTCATTGATTGATGTATTTGAAACATACTTGATAGAGCGAAAGTAGAGGTGTGATTCTAACCACCCATTTTAATAATACTCTTCAAAATAGCATAACTTCTTTTTTCCCTTAATTTTAACTATAGACCCACAAGATGAAAATAAAATTGGAATTGATGGGATTCAACAGTTTTGTGATGATTTAAGCCTAGATCCTGCCAGTATCAGCGTTTTGCTTATAGCGTGGAAATTCAGGGCAGCGACTCAGTGTGAATTTAGCAAAAAGGAGTTCGTAGATGGCATGACAGAGCTCGGGTAAGTAAATTGGTCTCAGTTTCAATTTTTTCAGAAAAGAAGATACTTTCAACATTATTTTTCAGCAACCTGTAAATACTGATTTCACGTCAATTTATGTTCTTTGTGTATCTTACAAGTTTCCTATACATCTGCACTATTAAGCCTTTGCTTTACTTTTAAATTCCAGTTAAAGTTTTACTTAATATTTTTTCCAAATTAATCCCTTTTGTAACATATTTTCTTCTTTTTAATGTTTTTCTTTCTAGTTTTGAATTGACAGTAAGCATCAAGAGTGTTTTTTTGTTTTGTTTTGAGATGCATTTGTTTCATGGCACTATGTACTAAATGCAATTTGTTATGTTGCTGTATTAAATATTAATAAAATATCAGTTTGCTTTTTGTTTGTAACAGTTCTCTGTTCTACCTATAAGATTGGGATAAAAGCTTTGTTAATAATTTAAGATGTTTCTCACTTGTCAGATAAGTCAGAACGGTAAATGAAAGCTCATGACATAAATGTCTTTTAATCATTAAGCCTATTAAACTATTTCATGGGTGACATAAAACCCAACTTGCCTGATTTCGTGATAACTACTGTTTCAGTGTTGATGACTTACACTAGCTTATGTTTAGCTGCTGAAGGAGCTTTCAAGCCTAATGTGAACATGTTCTCGAGGCAGGTGCCTACTGTTGCCACCAAAACAACAAATCTGGTGTATTTAAGTCTGCTTGGATGATAAACTCTGCGGGACTTTCTGTATTTCTAATGGTGTCTTACCATATCCCTGGTGGTTGTGTAACACCAACCAAAGATCAGACTGTGGTGCAACAGCATATTCTTCTTCATCTTTGTTCCTCGGGAAGGTTGGATGAATTTCCAGTAGTTTTAGGATGGAAGATACTGTGAAAGAAGCATCCCATGGGCACTGTGCTGTGCATTACCCTGTGTGGGTATTTTGGGAGATTTTGGAAATTAGTGTTTCTTAGAGAAACACTCAGAGGCATTTCTTAGGTATTGTCTAGAAATATGTTGTACAAGTAAATTTTTAAGATATAATTATCCTACTAAATGTCGTAATCCAAAAAAAAGTCTTAAGGATTTTGAGTGCAGCGCTTCCCAAAATGTGTTGGGTAATTTTATGTCCTCTTATATGGAGTGCACAGAATGTAATTTAAGGGTACAGGTTAGTGATGGTTAATGGTGCTGCTTGCCACATCTCACAGGTGAAAGCATTTTGCAGATACTAAGGTGCATTTACTAAGTGAGGGTATGTTAACCATGTTTGGAGATGGTTGCACTGCTTTTATGGGTATAGAGGTCATTTGCTTTTAGTACTAAGCTTTAAAAAATACTTTGGCCTTTGTGTCTGCTCTATTACTATTTATTACTATTTTTTTATACTTTTTTTCTGGCTATTAACTCTTGGATGTGCTTTTATACCTGCCTTTAACATTTAATCCTACATCCTTTCATTGCGGGCTTGAGGAGTCTTGAGTAAACTTTGTGAAATATCTTGACATCTTTGTAAGACAAAAAGTTGACTGTGTATATGAATCTCTTTCTGGATTCTGTCTCTATTCCATGGGTCTGCTTGTCTGTAACCTAATACCATATAGTCTTGATTATTGTAGCCTTAGAGTCAGTCTGAAATGATGTACTGTGGCCTTCCTATGTTGTTCATCAGTTTGAAGGTTGTTAGTCAGTTTTATGATTGCAGGGGAAGGAAGAGTCTTTTCAACAGATGATAAAACAACTGAGTGAACATAAAAAAAACTCAGCCCGTTTCCTACTTCGTACACACATGAAAATTAATTCAGGCTAGATCACAGACCTTACAAGAAGTTGAAAACTGTAAAGTTTTAGACAGAACACAGGAGAATATCTCTGACTTGCCAAAGAAGACTTTCTTAGAGAAGATATAAGAAGCATTACTCATAAAAGAAAAATTGATAAATTGAACTTCATCAAAGTTAAAAACTGCTTATTAAAAATACTGTTAAAAAAATTAAGACAAAACAGTGGGAGAAAGTATTTGCTCTCTCTGTATATGTTATAATCATTATGAAAATAGTAGGTGTAAATATAATTTGTATTTCATTTCTCAATGATAAAGTAACAAATTCAATTCAGAAGAATGCAAGAAAAGTAAGTATACAGGGGAAATGAACTTAAGGCAGGACAAATGGACAAATAGTAAACTCAATAAAATGAAGATTTAAACCAATATGTCAGCATTTACCTAGTTACATTACAGGTAAATGAACTAAATATTGGATGGATTTCAGGAAGCTCAGCCACTGTGTGCACTGTGTGCAGTAGATATAACTGAACGTCAGGCACACGACAGTCTGAAGAACAGAAGTTGGTGTGTTATGCACACATTGCCCCAGAAAAGCTGGTGTGGCTCTGTGCATATTAAAATGGCCTTAGGACACAAAGCAGTTCTAGAGATAATGAAGGATATTTCCTAATGGTAAGATGTTTATTTCACCAGGAAAGCAATAGTTTATTTAAAACAAGTAAACATTACAAAGATAAAGATACAAATCTATAATTAAAGTGGGGAATTCTCATATATATCTTACTAACTGATAGAATGAGGAGATGAAAAATCAGTAAGGAATTAAAAGATTTGGACAATGCAATAAATGGCCTAATATCATATTTAGAACTCTCTTTGATGTTGAATACTTACTCTTTTCAAAAAGATATGTAGAACATTTGAAAATATTGGCCATAAACTGGGCCATAAAGTAAGTTGTGACAAATTTCAAAGGATCGAAATGATAGAGAGATGCCTTCTGACCACATACAGTTAAGCTAGGAATATAACAAAAAGATAACTAGGTAGATTGAAATACGTGTGGGTATTGTACACCTCTGAATAGCCGTTGGGTTGAGAAGGAAGTTACAATGGAAATTAGAAGATATTTTGAGAGAAGAAAACGCTACATATGAAAACTTGTGGGATTCAGTTTCTTAAATGGACATGTTAGAAGGAAGGCAAAGTTGAGAATCAGTAAGCAAGCATCCCTTTCAAGAAGTAGAAAAAGAGCAGGAAATTAAACTCAAAGAATAGTGGAAGGAGTTGAATTTTTTTAAAAGACTGTAATTTAATGAAATAGAGAAGAAATTGTCAGTAGAAAGGATCCATAAAACCAGAAGCTAATTTGAAAATACTTATAAAAGTAATAAATAATAAATAAATAATGTGGAATGAGAAAGGGGACATCACTATAGAGCCTGCAGACATTAAAAGATAACAATATATTTCGAACAACTTTTAGAAATACAACTTGCTGAAATGGGCACATGAAGAAATAGTTCCATAACTCTTAAAGAATTTGAACCTGTAATTCAAGATCTTTTCAAAGAGAAAACTCTTGGCCAATATTGATTCACTAGCACATCATAATGAACTTTTAACGAAGAAAGCAGCACCTGTTTTACAAAACCTCTTCCAGAGAATAGTACAGTAAGAAACACTCAGTTTGTTTTGAGGCCAGCACAACAGGATAACCAGACCTAGAAAGGACATTTGAAAATGGAAAATTACTTGCCATTGTCAGCCATCAGAATCAAAGGTTTGTAAGATGAACATAAGATATAAAATCCTAAATAAATTAGTAGCAAAGTGATGCAGCCCCAAAAATAAATCAACCAAAAAGCCAGGATAGTTTATCAGGACAAAGTTTGTTGTAGTCCAGGAATCCACGATTTGTTTGACATTACAAAGGCAATCAGTGTAACTGATCTCAATTGACAACAGAAAGGAGAAGGTGGGAAAGATTTTCTCAGTGTATAAAAAGGGTTTAATAAAAGTCAATCCTATTCATGATTTTTTAAGAAAAGACCTCAACAACAAACAGAATAAAAGGGACAGTCCTTAATCTGACTCTCCTTCCCCTCCCAATCCTGCAGCAAACGCTTTACTTATTGGAACCTGAATGCCTGCTTTTACTCAACATTGAACAGGGGATTCTTAGCTAGCCTAGTCTACAGGTTAAATATTAGAGTCAGTGAGTGAGTTTAGCTAGACTTAAGGACCCGAGGTCAGCAAACAAAAACATATCTTACTTCAGAAAGCTGAATGCATAATGCAACAAAGTGAATTTTTAAAATATGTTTCATTTTCAGTAGCATCAAAAATACCAAGCACCTAGGATAAGTCTAATTAAAGACGTGTGCTACCTCCATAGAGAAAGTAACTCACCGAGACAGGAATGGATAAATGGGAAAATACACTCGATTCATAGGTCAGAACACTCAGTATTCTATCTCTGACTTTATTTATCTATACATTTAATGTGATCTCAGTCAAAATCCCAATAAGTGGTATATTTATGTATGTGTAATTTCACAAGCAGATTTAAAATTTCCATGAAAATGCAGTCAAGAGTAGCCAATAATTCTTAAAGAAAAAGAACACAGTGGAAATAATTGTACCATATAATCAGGGCTTTCCAAGCTACAGTAATTAAGACCATGGTACCAAGTGCCAGAGTAAATGGGCCAGTGGACCCCAGAAACAATCCTGTGTATGTGGGTACACTTGATGTATGGCAAAGGTGGCACTTTAGAGAAATGAGGAAAAAAAACTCCTTTCAATAAACAGTCCTGGGAGAATCGGCTGGTCATATGGAAAAAAATTAATCTTGATCCCTACCTCATACCATTCATGGGAGTCAGTCCCAAGTGGCTTATAGATCTCAGTGTGAGGCCAGAGGCGGAACACAGAGCCTCTAGGAAATGATGTAAGAGAACCTCTCTGTGACCGTGCAGTGGGCAAAGTTTTAAGCATCATCAAAAACATCGCGAAGAAGACTGGCAGAGCCCTCCACCGAGAACACAGACTCGGCCACCTGGCAGCACCCGGAGGGAGGTGAAAAGGCCACCCATGTGCTGGGCAGAGTGCTCGAAAATGCATAGGCTTGTATCCCTGAGAGGTAAGGGACTCCTAGAAAACTGGGAAAGAAAGGTGGCCTAACTGAAAACGGGCAGGAGACTGGAAGCACCGCACGGAAGGGGATTCCCAAGTGGCCTGCTTCGGTTCACTCATTTCCAAATGCAAAGTGCTCCTTAAAACTACAGTGACACAGAACCCTGCAGCTCCCCATTCCAGAAGGGCTGAAATAGGACGCAGCGGCAGTGATGGCGGGCAGGGCAGGCAGCAGGCCCTCGTACTACTGGTGGGGCAGGAGGTGGGACACTTTGCAAAACTGGCATTACTCAGGAAATTGAAGGTGCACAGACCCCATGCCCAGCCCTTCCTCTCCTGGGTGTGCAGCTGGAGAATGGCAAATAGCCAGAATATTTGCCACTGGTAGGACCACACAGTATGAAGTGGGAGTGTGACGGAGTGCTGTCCAGCAGTGAAAATGGCCCGACTACAGCTACAAGCCAGCAGAGTGACCCTCACAGACAGTCCTGTCCTAGAAAACCAGACACAACACATGCCCTGAGTTCCTGTATGTAAAGTTCAAACCACACAGTAGCTTACCCTGCCATGGTTTGCTCGTGGGGCATGAAGAAAAGGAGGTGACCTGGGAGGGAGTTTTTATGGAGTTTTATGCGTGGCCACCCCCAGACACTCTACCTGGGTGCGAGAAGTCTGCATTTGTTCTATTCCTTGCTGTGCAGTCAAAAAAGACAGATTTTATGTTTTGCTATTCCAGATTTCTGCCTTAAAGGCTTTATAGTATTCTTCATGGTTATTGATATTTTGCAGGAAAACCTAATTTTAAAGCAAGACAGTTGTGTTTTATTACACTTGCAGGTTTAAATCTAATGATGTGACGAAGAGAACCACAGATACAGCAGCTGAGTGCTACAGGGCTGTGTCCCTCCTACGGGGCAGCGCAGGGTGGCAGAGGCTGTTCTGGGCTCATGAGGAAATGGGGGCTGTTCTGTCTGTCACTGTCATTTCAGGGCGCTGACCTCTGCACGTCAAAGCTGCAGGGTTAACCCGTGTCCATATTCCAGCAATTTTGGTCGGTTTTTTCCTTTTAATGACCACCCTATTAAGACAGTTCAGACTCAGTACAACTCACCCTCGTGTACAGGCGGTAGCTTGGCTGTGTGCACAGAGCTGTGGGCCATCAGCACAGTTCTAGAGCTTGTCAGGTTCCTTCCAGCCAGAGAATGGGGCGCATGAGAGAGCCACCTGTCCCACTGGTCCCAGCCTTGGGGAGCTGCCTAGCCTGGGGGGGCGCCTCCACCCCCGTGACAGCGCTGTCCTCGTCACAGGTGCGACAGCACAGCGAGGCTGAAGGCCCTTCTGCCGAGACTGGAGCAGGAGCTGAAGGACACCGTGAAGTTCAAGGATTTTTATCAGTTCACTTTCACCTTTGCTAGGAACCCTGGGCAGAAAGGTTTAGGTGAGTACAATCCCAACGCCAGATGCTAGTCCTGCCTGCAGTGATGCCCTGCGCTCCTGGGGTCTGCTTGTCCCCTGAGGTGCCCTGCCTGCAGGTGGACCAGTGTGGGATACCGCATACCTGGACACCTCAGCCAGGAGTTGCATCCAGCTTCTGGGTTTAAATATTTAAATTGCAAAACATAAACTAGTTGCAGGTGTTCGTGTTCTCTCGCATTGATGTCTCGCTGATGAAGGGTTTAGGGGGGTCAGCAGTCAGTACCAGCAGTTGGAGTGATTCTCACAGGGCACGGGATCCAGCCACAGCATGGCTCAGCTCCGCCAGAGACGGCAACCCTGTCCTGGTCTGGAGACTTAGTTACGGACTTGAAACCAGTTCTGACGTGCATCGGATCACGTCAGTACCTCTTTCAGGGTAGTATGATTTTGCTGTATTGTACCTATGATTATACATGGTATGTTTGGAAATTTCTTAACTTGATTTTCAGTTTCAGTCTGGTTTATCTGAGGGTTTTTTTCCTGCTTTATCCTGCTTGTTCCACGTTTCCCCTTGAGTACTGTACAGTCAAATCTAAGAGAGAACGCGGTTTCAGCACAGAGCTCTGCGGCACAGCGAATATCGCAACAAAGCGAGAAGCTGACGGTTCGGCTTCCCAGGACACAGAGCCCTGCGCACACTGCACTGGAGCCTGTCGCGTGCGCAGTGGTGCGCACATTGTTTTGAAGGTAGCACACACCTTAAGCACAGAACACTTCAGTGCTAAAACATGCCACCCATCTTCTGGGCTGTAAGCGAGTCGTGTTCTCTTTGCTGGGAGCAGTCCTGTCTCGACGTGGACAGCTGCTCATTGATTCGGGGGGCTGGCTGCTGAAGGTTAGGGTGGCTGTGGTTATTTCTTAAAATAAGACAACAGTGAAGTTTGCCGCATCCTTTGACTTCCTTTCACGAATGATTTCTCTGTAACGTGATGCTGCGTGACAGCCTTTTACCCAGAGAACTTCTTTCAAAACTGGAGCCCCTCTGCTCACACCCTGTTGCTGCTTCATCAGCTGAGCTTGTGTTGCATCCTAAATGCCGTGTTGTCGTGTCAGCAGTCTTCCAGCATCTTCTGCAGGAGCAGCGTCCCTCTCAGGAAACCGCTTCCTTTGTTCACCTGTAAGAAGCAGCTGCTCATTGGTTCAAGTCTGATCATGAGATGCAGCAGTTCAGTCCCATCTTCAGGCTTTAGGGGTCTGGAAAGACTTATTCCACAACTTATTCCAAACCTGTTAATGTTGATGTTTTGACTTCCTCCCACAAACTGTGAATGTTCTTAATGGCATCTGGAATGGTGAATCCTTCCCAGGAGGTTTTCAATTAACTTGGCCCAGATCCATCAAGGGGAGTCACTGTCTATGGCAGCTTTAGCCTTATGAAATGTCGGTCTTAAATAATAAGACTTGGAAGTCAGAATGGCTCCTTGGCCCAAGGGCTGCAGAATGGGCGTTGTGCCGGCAGCATGAGAACAGCCATCTTCTCCTCGTCCCTCCGTCGGAGCTCCTGGGGACCAGGTGCGCTGGCAGTGAAAGGACTTTCTGAGCGGCAGGTCTCCAGAGCAGGCCTAAAGCACTCAGTGACCGTGTTGTGGGTGAAGGTGCTGTCACCCAGGCTGTGCTGTTGCGTTGACACACAGGCAGAGTAGACTGAGCGTCATCCTGAAGGGCCCGAGGATTTTCAGAACGGTCAGTGAGCACTGGCTTCAGCTGGAAGTCCCCAGCTGCATCTGCCCCTGATGAGAGGCGGCCTGTCCTTGAAGCTGTGAAGCAGCCACTGACTTCTTTCAAGCTGTGAAAGTCCTAGATGGCATCTTCTAACAGAATCTGCTCCGTCTGCATCGAGAACCCGTTACTCCGTGTAGCCACCTTCACGAATGGTCTGAGCTAGACCGTCAGCACCTGCTGCTTCACCTGCACTTTTCTGTCATGGAGTCGCTTCTTTCCTCCGACCTCAGGAACCAGCCTCTGCTGGTTTCCGACTTTTCTCCTGTGGCCCCTCCCCTCTCTCGGGTTCATGGAATTAAGAGTCAGGGCCTTGCTCTGGATGAGGCTTTGGCTTAGGGGACTGTCTGATCATCTATCCAGACCACTAAAGCTTTCTGCATATCCGCAGTAAGGCCATTTTGCCTTCTTACCATTCTCGTGTCACTGGAGAGGCGTTTTACATTTCCATCAGGGACTTTTCCTTTACATTCACAGCCTGGCCGATGGGCCGAGAGGCCCAGCTTTCGGCCTGTCTCAGCTTCTGGTCTGCCTTCCTCACTCAGCTTCGTCATTTCTAGCTTTTGCTTTAAAGTGAGAGACACGTGAGTCCTTTCACTGAAAATTTAGAGGCCGCTGTAGGGTTATTAACTGGCCTAATTTCAATATTGTTGTGTCTCAGGAATAGGGAGGCCTGTGGAGGGGGAGAGAGACAGGGTGGGGGAGCCGTCGGCCCACACACATCTGTGGATCAAGTTTGCTGTGTCCATGGGTGCAGTGCACGCGACCCCAGAACAGTTCAATAGCGACACCAAAGATCACTGACCACGGACACGGTAACAAATGTGATAATAATGGGAAAGTTTGAAATATTGTGAGAATCACCGAAATGTGACACAGAGACACGAAGTGAGCAGATGCTACTAGAAAAATGGTGGCAGTAGACCGCTGGCCTGAGGACAGCCACAAACCCTCAATTTGTAAAAAATGCAGGATCTGCAAAGCGCTAACATGAGGTGTGTCTACATAGTTTATTTCTGTCTCTTCCTAAAAGTCATGTGTACTGACCTGTATTTTGTTTCCTAATGTAACATCTATGACTCATTTAGTAAAATCTACAGGTCTGGATTTTAAATAGGGATTAAATGAGTATATTAGCAAGTATCTTGTGAAGAGTTCTTGTAAATAAAAGCAACATTATCAGATGACAAAATTAGTTTGGAAACCAAGGGGGCTTGAAAATCCATAGGTAAAAAAACACAGCGCAAACGTTTGGCGTCAGGGCCTGATATCACCCGCGCGCGTGGGCACCGTTCCGTCTCTCCCTGGCCCCGCCAGTGCCCTGGCCCCGTCCCCGCGGCCGGCTCTCGTTGGATCCCCTCTCCCAGCTGGGCTCCGTGGGACCGTCACCCACCACCCAGGAGCCAACGGGGTCTTGCCATGGGGCCCCGCTCAGGGCCGTGCTTGAGCAGGTCTGCTTAGACCTGGGGAAGGCAGAAGTGGGGGAGCTCCGGGAAGACGCGCGTGCCCTTCTTCCTGAAGGAGCGGGAAGCAAACGGGTGCCCGAGGTGTGGAGGCAGCAGCGAGGGATTCTTGTGCCTGGCCCTGTGCCGGAGGAAGAGGGTGCACAGCCTGCACCCCAGGGGGAGAGCTGGGCTGACGGGCTTCCCAGCGGGCCTGACATCGGTGCGAAGCCGGTGCAGCAGAGCCCACACCCAGGGGGGCCTCGGCGTGGGCAGCTAGGACGGACGCTGGGGCCAGGGAGTCTGGCCGTGGACTGCTGGGGCTGGGTGACCCGGGGCTGTGGGCTGTGTCCCGTGTGGCAGGCTGGCGAGGCCTGTCCTGGCCAAGTCCCACCCAGGCGTGGGATAAGCCTTCTCTCCAAGAAGCCTTGGTCCTTTCGGGGAGGGTGCTGCTCCCAGACCACCCCCAGGCAGCAGCGATGCTCGTGGCCGCCAGCCTGTGGCTGTTCCTGGGGCCCTTCCACGAGTGCGGCCCAGGGCCTGGGCTCTGCACTGTGACAGAGTCCTTCCTTGGCTCTGCCTGCATGGACACTGAGAGTCCCTGACGGGCATGTGTTCTCTGCCCGTCCCGGAAAGCCTGCATCCACACTGAGCATGTGGTCAGCTCTCTGCTGTGGACTGGGCTGTGGCCTAGCTGTGCGGTTCCATGGGCTGTCCACACTCCCCACTGGGCCTGAAGCTGGCTCTCTGGTCCCTGGGGTTGGAAGGCCCCCTCTGGATGCCCACACTGCTCCAGGGCAGCGCTCCCTGACCCCCTGCGCTTGAGAGCAGTTTCCCAGGTGTGACGTGCACTCTGCCCCTCTGTTGTTGTGTCTGGTGTTGCTGGTCATCAAGCCATCTGAAGCGATAGCCACCCTAGTAAGCACCTGACTTCACGAGTTGGTTCTCGACTTCTGGACTGAAAGTCTTGTTTTCTTCTGCTCTACTGCACCGTGGTCCTTTCTTCTAGGCTGGAGCACAGTAGCCCCTGGAAAGCAAAGTCCACTGTAGTTGGGGCATTCTCAAGAAAACATGCCGGGGCTTTTCTGGAAGCTGAAGTAGATAGCGGGCAGCGTGGTGACCCAGACGGCGCCTCAATGTGGGTGGGCGTCTGCAGGGAGGCCTCTCACTGGATGGGCCGTGCAGCACTCTGAGCAGGTTCCCGCCACAGATGTGGCTGTCTTTTCTTTAATTTCTGCATTTCCTGATTTTCCCTGCATAATAATCACCTGTACGAGATGTCCTGCTTTCCTGGAATTTGGCTGATTTGGGCCTGAGTGTAATTATTATATTTAAGAAGGAGAATGTACGCAATGCTGACTTCTGAGCAGTTTAATTCATAGAGTCTTATTTAGCTTCATTTTTCAGTGATAATTGCTCTGACCCCACTTTTAAAATAATGGTCATGAATAATTCCATTGTTAAATGGAAACCAGGAGAGGGCACTTTGAAATGCCAATGACTGACACGGCTGCCTGCCTTCTGCCTGTTACTGTCTTCAGGATAACTGAGCCTCTGTTAGAAGTAATTATTTACATTCCTTGCTATTTTGCAGTCGGTAGGATTCCTTCCTTTTAATGTTGAAATGAAAATGTTTACAAAGGGTTACCATTTCACTTAACTTTTGTATGTAGGTATTATCGTTAAGAATTTTTATCTCACAATTCCAAGTTAGTTTGCCAGACATGGACACGTGTCAAGGAAGTCACTGTTTACCTTAGGTCCTCCCAAAGCGGGGCCTGCAGACCAGCACGTTGGCATGAGCTGAGAGCTTGCCAGAATGGCAGGATCTCAGGCTGCGCCCTAAGCCCACTGTGTTGATTAGTAATCACTGCACAGCCACCTCGGAACTTAGTGACTTCAGACAACAGTGTCTCCCGGCTCAGGGTCCCCAGGGTCAGGGATTCAGGCAGGGCTCCCCTGGGCGGCTCTTCTGTTCCACCCAGTGTCAGCTCAGACACTCAGCCCCGTTTGAGCTGGCGGCCAGACGAGGCAGAAATGTCCCGGAGAGACTCAGACGAGGGTCTGGTGCCTCGTGCTCCTCTGGTGGCTCCCTGGGGCTTCCTTACAGAGTGGGGGCTGTGGCTGGAAGTCCTGCAAGTGGAGGCTGCAGTGCTCCACGCAGGGGACAGGGAATCCCAGCAGGCCCAGCCCTGGGGTCCCATGGCATCAGCTGCATTTGAAGTCATCACTTCCAATGTGCGTCTCTAATTGCACAATAATTTCCAGGTCATAAACTAGAGTCTAAATTAATTACCTGATTCAAAGTTTAAGAATTTATTTTCTGTCTCCATGAATATTTCAGAATTCAGTTTGCAGGTAAGGAGTGTTTTGAGGCCTTCCTGCAATACGGAGCCTAGTGTGTTCAGCACCTGTTTTAAATAGATTTGCTTTGGCATCAGGCAGAAAAGGTGAGGTTCATAGTTTATCCTGCAGCTCCCTTACTGGGAGAAGATAATCATCATCTTTTTATTTTACATCTATAAACAAATAAAAGGTTTACGGAAATCATTTGCCAGAGCAGTGACTTCTTCTCTCTCTATAAGAGTAACTGAGAGAAGGTAAAATTGCAGTTAAAAATAACAGCCTCTTCAGAAAAAGGTAGATTATTTGAACATTTCAAATATATTGCACTCTGTGTTTTTGGAGGATTCTTGAAAGCTTTCAAAAGAATAATAAAACAAGGTAATTTTATGACTACAAACCCCAAACAGAACAACTGATTTTATGATTTCCCAAGTATACTACATAGTCTGTCCTCTGAAGAACTAAGTATAAATTACAGAGGTCAACTGATACAGGTGTTTCATAGTTCCTAGAAAAAGCATGCACCTGTGAAAAGAACAAAAGGCGAGATTTGGCCTTTATTTCCATCTGGTGTGTGTGTGTGCACACACGCGTGCACGCACACACGCTGCACGCACACGCGCATGTTGAGATTATGGGCAGTGCTGTTCTGTGGGTGATTTTTCCTTAGGGTGTACTAACTGGTGGGCATCCTAATAAGATAACTAAAGCTGTTTGACTCTTTGATTTGATGCAAGGAGCTTAGCATAGTTTCATCCTGTCTAAAATCTGGAATCAGTTGGCTTTGAGGAATCTTGACTTTTGAGGAAGTAAAGTTTCATGATAATTAGCTAATTATTATATCTGCCTGAAGATCCTTTATTGACAGAAGGGATGACTTCATTAATTCTAAGCAGAGCATCACAGATTTGCATTTTAAATGGTAATACCCTCTTCCAAGCATTTCTCACTCAGAAGATAGGACTTTTCAAAGGTTATTGGGAACAGAACGGCTGCTCTGAAGATTCTTGCAGCCGCCAAGCGGCTTCTGGTGTTGGTCCAGCACTCAGGGTCATCCTGGCTTTTGTTGGGGGTGGTTTGCAAATGGCTAAGTCCATCAGGACAGCATTAAACATTTCTATATGGATAATACTAAACACTGAAAGGGCGGGCATTACTTGTTGTGTGGTTTATGAACATACAAACAAGGAATGTCGTGAGGTTTCTAGGGCTAGACTAACCCAAAGGAACTGGATTGAATGTCTGCCGTAGTGCTTGTTTCCTCGCTGGTCTACCTTCATTTCTCGACGTGAGAGCTCTCACCTTCAGGGTAAGTTGGGTGTAGAGTTCAATTCCTACATGAGAAAGATGTAGACTTAATGTGTGGGTAGTTGTCATGATTAAAGGTGGTCTGTTTTAGGGAGGAAACTCCTCAGCCCCATGGTGTGCTTGCTACATTACACATATAAAAGCAGCAGGTGTTAAACTTCAGGGACCAGAGAACGAATCAGTGTTACAAAAATTACAGATTGAGAATAATCTAGCACATCCCCAAACCCAGCATCACGGTTCCCTGAGACATTGTCTTACCATTGAGCCCCACAGTGTAAGTCTGTATAGATGGTAAGAATGATCATGACCTTCTACTCAGGGGACAGTGAGGACATTGCTTTGATTAATGACCTGAACAGATTGCAAATATCCTCCCATCAGTGACGGTACTTCTCGCTAAATGTGCCTGTTGGTCTAGACTGTACCTTCAGAAGGTCGGGCTCAGGGTGCTTATTTCATTTACTTTCACATCAGATTCTGTTTTAGGCCTTATAGAGCAGCAAGGCAGGTCTGTTTGGAAAGCACCACATCCCTTCCTTTCTAAGCAAGCTGTCTAACTTATAGCTTATCACTTAGAAAGCACATCTGCCTGTTTGTTAGAAATAAATGATGTGTATTAATAGTACCCAGGTTGGTTCAGGTTTAAAGAAAGCCTGACATATAAAAATGAGTCTGTGAAACTGATTAATTAGGGGATAATTATTTACATGTCTGCATAATATAATATACAAATCCCTTTTTAAATTTCCCCAGACTTATAAAATGAGGTCACACACAACTGCAGGAACACTTCTGGAAGGGTTAGGCCTCATTACTCCCATGTAAGACTCCTGAATTTCATTGAGTGACTATCCATGTGCTAAAAGCAGTTATTTTTTTTGTTGCAGTAGAAAAGAAATTGGGATCTACTAACTGCTCTTTCTCTTTTTTTCCCAGACGTAGAAATGGCTGTGGCATATTGGAATCTAGTACTGTCGGGAAGGTTTAAATTTTTAGATCTTTGGAACACCTTTTTGCTGGTAAGTGGCCAGCTCCTTACCGTGTGCACCCTATGTGAAGGGGTTCAGCAGGCCATGTGGCTGTGGTACTATCTAACCACAGTATTTTATGCGGGTGTTGTTAACTAAAGTCCTGTACAGAGATCACCAGGTAGCCAGCAGTTACCACCCAGCTTTGCCACCGTGCAGAGCGCCACACCCACTGAGTTTGGGCAGGGCTGCCCGAGGCTGACTTCCAGCTGGGGTTTCAGATGAGGGCTGCAGCCACGGCAGCCGGCCATTTATCACGTTCTCTGAGGGTCCCAAGCTAGCTCTGGGCTTCCTCTGAGGAGCTTGGAACCAAAAAGTGCAGGTACCACGCAGCCTGTGTGCTGAGATGCTCCTGACTGTGGGGCAGGACCTCTCCCCCTGTCCAGCGGGACCCCACTAAATGCAGTCAGAGTCTGATACCATTTTACAACAAAGCTTAGGACGCGCAGGAGGGAAGGAGGGCTTGGCTGGCCCCACCTGCACTGGAGGCAGGCATCCACAACGCTGGGCCTCCTTAGTGAGCCGTGCCTGCTGGTGTGAGGTAAGGGGGTGGGTGTGCCAGGACCCCTGGCAGCACAGACCCCCCTGCTGGCTGAGGGCCTGCTCTCCGCTGGGAAGGCTCCACGTGGAGTGCTGTGCAGACGCCCAGGTCTGACTTTGCAGCCAGTCGCATTTCCTCTGCTGCCCTGGACTGCAGACCCGCCACAGAGGCTGCAAGCAGGGCCGGCTGGGCCAGGGTGCATCCCAGGGCGGCAGCGCACGGCCGACCACGGGACTTCCGTGGGCAGGAGGCAGACGAGGCTCAGTCTGTGCTGCCCAAGGCACCACAGAGCTCAGGGGGACCCAGACCAGCATGTGCAGGCTGCGGGCACCCCAGCATCTGAGGGGAAGAGTTGCTGAAGAGCCTGTGACTATGGGACAGGCTCTGGCACGGCGCCTTCCCCTCACCTGCCTGCGTGCGGGGCTCCGGGGCTGCGGACACCTGACCGGGACGTCTGTCTCCCACACCCGCTGGTTCTTCTCTTATACAGGAACATCACAAAAGGTCAATCCCAAGGGACACGTGGAACCTCCTGCTAGATTTTGGAAACATGATTGCAGATGACATGTCCAACTACGACGAAGAAGGTACGCAAGTCATAGCGCTTCAGGTGGTGGCCAGAGTGACCCGTCCAGCGATGGACACGGGCACGGGGTCAGGCAGGTCCCCGGGACAGGGTGAAGATGGGGTGGCACCCCCCGCACTGTGTTGGAGAAATCGTACAAAGAGAAGCAGGGCTCCCGATTCAGCTCAGACCGAGGAGACAATCCTCTGAACTGAAGCGTTAGGAAGCGGCTGCGGAGGGCCCTGTGGCAGAGCCACAGAAGCAGACCCATGTTCAGGAGCAGCTGCTGCGAGTGTGACCCCGCCTGGCTCCCCAGGTCACTCGTCCCATCACACTAGTTAAGCTTATTTGAAGATGCCAGCTTGCGCCTCCGTAGCCCACGTTTAGTGGCCCCCACCCCCAGCAGTGCAGGACGCCTGGCCGTGGAGCAGGCCCGCCCACTTGCCACGCCTCAGTGCCCAGCTGGGAGCTGACACTGGGGGCCACCTCCCCTCCGCTCCTGTGGGTTCTGGGATGTGAGGCTTGCCGGTGATAGCACCCTACCCCAGGGCGCCGTGGTTGGCACCCTTACCTGAGTGTCCTCTGTCCTTGGCCTGCTGCCCAACAGTGGAACACGGGGGGCATGCTAGCTGGGTGGGCAGAGGGCTGCCTGCAGACACAGGCCCCACGTACTGGAGCTCTAGCTCTGCTGGGTGAGCCGTGGCACGTCCAGGTAGGACCCGCCGTGTGAAGCGGAGCAGCGAGCAAGCCACTGGCCTGTGTCTGAGGGTCCTGGGCATCTACAGGGCGCTGGGCTGGGTGAGGGTGGGCTGGCTGGAGGAGGGGCGCAGCTCAGGGGGCAGGGGCCACCCCCCAGCCAGCGGGACGTGGGCTTTGGGGGAGAGCAGATGTGTCGCTCGGCAAGGCTCGACTGCAGCAGGGCCCCAGGCTGTCGCGCAGGCCGCTGGCGAGGGCGCAGGAGTAGCTGCCGCTGGTCTGGATGGGCAGAAGAAGTGAAGGCTTCAGCCAGTTCGTTTCCTGAAACACGGGCTGCAGAAACTTTTACTTGAGTTCCTGAAATATAGACATTGGGGTGTGAAGAAAATGCTTTGAATGTTAAAATATTGCTTCACAACATGGATTTTTAACAGTCTCTGTTTGCTTTCGTTTAGGAGCGTGGCCTGTCCTTATAGACGCTTTCGTGGAGTACGCACGGCCGGTGGTCACAGGCCGTAAACACAGGCCTCTCTAGGCGGGAGGTGAGGGGCCAGGGCCACAACCTGACGCGTCCTGCAGGGGCACCTCGGTCAGTCACTGCGCACTTTGTCTCTGCAGATGTCATCCTTGGCCGACGTGAGCCTGGAATGGCCATCTCGCCACGCTCACAGAACATGGTGGCCGAGCATGGACCCATGAGGAGCCACTCAGAAGACAGCAGTTCAGTGTCCAGAGTCGGGGCCCAGCTGCCACTTTGGGCGATTCTGTGTGCTGCTTACCCTGTTCTGTGAGACGGGACCTAGAGCCTGCCTGTGGGACTGCAGAGCCCGCTGTGCAGTTCACGGTTGGCTGGAAGAGCCAGCAGCCCCCACAGCCTCTGCCGAGTCCTGTAACCACCGCAGAGCATGTTTGTGTCCTCAGGAGGTGCGTCTTATACCAGGCAGAGCCGTTAAACATGAGCCCTAAAGATGAGCCTGTGGATTACAACATTCTTAAGCTTGGTGCCAGGAATTCAAGATGTATATTTTTGAAATTATGAGATAATCTAGACTTGCCAGATCTGATTTTGTTTTAATTTTCTCTGGATGTTCATCTGAAGATCACTTACAGTTCTCACACACCATTATATCGTTTGCACAGGTAGTGTTGAGCAGCTTGTGGTTCCAGGAAAGCTTTATTTAAACTGCTTACAAGCCAGCAGATCTATTTTACTCCTAATAATCATCTGCATGAGATTCCTAAGAAGTTTGATAAAGTATGCTTTCTAAAAGTATATTTTATTACATCTAAAAAGACATTTTTCAATGAAAAAAATATTTATTTTATGATGATGAATTACAGATCTGCAAACCAGGTGAGTTAGTTCCTTTCAGCACTGTGATAGCCATGGCATCCACCCACCCTCTGCACGGCCGCACACAGGCAAAACGAAGCCAAGCCTGAGGCCTTCCTCGCGCGCAGGCTGTGGGTCTAGCATCACGATGCCATCTGATATTGTACCGTTTGCCTCGTCAGAGGGGATCCTCGGCCTGGGGCAGGAGCGAGCACTTGCTGACCAGGGGGAAGGCCCCTGGGGCTGAGCCGAGAAGCTCCTGCGGGCAGTCGAGCAGCCCTCTGTGGACCCTACCTCATACTTGGGAGACCTTCAGGTCACTAGTGTGCCTGCTGCCCTGCTCACCCAGCTTATGACACACATAAATTTGGGTCACCTCAGGGAGGGACTCACCTCCGATTTCCTGTAAACAGAAAGTGTGCCTAAAGTGCAGTTCAGTTGCCTTCCGAAATCACCATCGCCGTTCTCGGAAGCGCTGTGCACCCTGAGGCTTGTGTGCACTCGCTGTGTGCGACCTGCTTGTGCTCCGGGGGCGGCTGGCAGTGTAGGCCTGGAAGGGGGTAGACAGGCTGGCGACCAAGGCCTCGGCTGGGTCTGCCCCTCACCCCTCCTCCCAGCCCTGCCGAGTCTGCCGACAAAAGGCAGAACGCGGCCATGTCTACGTGTCAGTCTGGTTCCGAGAGGACATTTATTTTATATAATAAAAGCCGGCTCTAATAAAAACCTCATTTTGAAGCATCCTGCAAGGCTCCGTGGGTTCCTGGCACGGAAGCGTTCGCCGAGGAGGCTCTAGAGCTTGGATGATCCTGTGCAAATTAGTGGAGGTCTGTGACACTCCTATTCTTAACACTTATAAGTTGCTTGGGAGAAGTTCCATGGGGCTGTTTATCAGTAGGTCTCAAAGCCCTGCTATTGGACAGAGGTGCTTGCTTCACACACTTGGAGTTTTTTTTTCTAGGAATACAGTAAGCCCTGAGCATGCTAAGAACTTCGAAACGTTAAAATGGGCTGTTTTCTGTGGCAGCGTGGGCTCCTTTTCCCTCCGTTGTGGGGTGTCAGGCACTCACCCACTCATGTCACGATTGGTATTGTCATGGGGCTGGCAGAAGAGCCACCTCTGCGACGCAGCAAGCCAGCTCCTTGGGGGACGTTCCCACGTGCGTCCCACCTGCTGCCCTTGCTCAGAGGTCAGGTCCCCAAAAGGACTGCTCCAGCCTTCTCTTATCCTCAGTAGCACCTAGTGGTCGAGTCTGGTCGTTCCAATGTGAAAAATTACAGACGTCCTAACAGGATTTCCTTGAGTTGGTGGGAATTACATGCCAGAATACACTGAAATGCAAACTGTACATATGTTGAAAATTTGCAAATTAGCCAAAAGTAATAGGTTTTATACATATATACACCTTTGCCTTCATAGGGTGCCTGCCAGGACTTTCTGGAGTGGACATGTTCTTTCTGTCTTGGTGACGTAAGATGTCTGTGTTAGTGTGACTTGGCAAAGGTCGGGACGCACACCCCTCAGACCTCGGGCTCCACAGGAACAAGGCTGGGCTTGCCTGCCTGTTGCCATATTCATAGTTCTCAGCACACAGTCGAGTAATGTTGGGTGGACACACAGGGGGTCCCCCACCCTTTCCCATCTGCCAACTCAGGCTGGTAGTGAGGGTCACCCCTCATCCAAGGCAGAGGCCCCACTGCTTTGGAGTCAGTGAAGGAATCCAGCCACCCTGCTCTCCAGGGAGATTCCCACACAGTGACGCCGCTCTCCCTGTCACGGCAATGGCTGTCGGTCTGTCCTGCTGGACAGGGGACCGCAGGCCTCCCAACCCAGGACTGGCAGGACCTCAGAATCGTGCTGGCTGGGGTGACCTCCAGAACCTGGTTTTAACAAGTGCTGTTAAAGTTCTCCATGTTCATGCAGGTGCATCTGGTGTCTTATTACTGGAATAAGTTTTATTTTCACTGGTAGAAGCGTCACACTGCACACTCTGGGCTGATCTGTGACCATGTGCAGGGCACTGAGGAAGCAGTGTCCTGGGCACCGAGCCCCTTGCAGGCTGGGGGACAGCGGGATGGACTGCTTTCCTAGCTCCTGTTTCGAACCAAGAGCCGGGTTCCCGCGTGCCGCCTGAACCTGCAGGCCCTTCCTGCGCATAAACAGTGGAGCCCAGCAGTCCCCTGGCTCTTGGCTTTGGTGGCTGAGCTGGGGGAAAAGCCCACCGTCTCTCCCCACCTGCCCCAATGGGGGGCTCCTTCTCCTCATTAACATTTTCTAAGTTTTCTGTCATACCATTTTATAATAAAAAAGTTTCCTCCAAAATAAACTGTGCACGTAGTGGATGAATCTCAACATTGTGTGAAGTGGTCAAGAAGTCACACCAAAGGCCGGGAGCCGACGTGCGGGGGATGGGACTGCGGGCGGGGGGTTCGGGGAGGGAGGCGGGGGACGCTGCACGCAGGAAGTGCCCAGGCTGTGGGCGGCAGCTGCAGGGCGAGGGGCCCGGCCTTCCGGGGCTGCAGCTGGTGCCCGGCCCACGTGGCTCTGCAGAAGGCGCTGGGAGCGCTGGCCCAGAAAGGCGGGGGCTGGTGCCGCCCGCGGAGACCCGGTGCCAGCCATCTGGGAAGCTGCCCGCAGGGCCCACCAGCGGCGGAGGTCGGGGGCAGGGACGCCGCGGGGAGACGCAGGCCCGGTGCGGGGGCGGCGCGCGATGGAGCGATTCAAGGCTGCGATGCTGCTGGGGAGCGTCGGGGACGCGCTGGGCTACAGAAACGCCGGCCGGGAGGGCAGCGCCGCCGGCGCGAAGATGCGCGCGGAGCTCCAGGCGCTCGGAGGGCTGGACCACCTGGTGCTCTCCGCGCAGAAATGGCCAGTGAGCGACAACACCATCATGCACATGGCGACCGCCGGGGCCCTGACCACAGGTAAGCTGCGCCCTTGCGGCCGCCCCTGCCCAAAGTGGCCGTTTAATACCCACCGGTGCCCCCCGCCAGCCGCCCTGCAGGCGACCGCGCTGCCAGCCCCTGCCGGCGCTGGTGTTCACAGGCGCCCCGAGGCCGCGCCGCTGTCTCCAGGGCGAAAGCCAGCGAAACCTCCCGCTTTGGAGCAGTTTGGGGGAGGAGTCAAGTTCCCCTTGTGGATGCTAAGCGTTCTTCTGAATTGATTTTTAAAAGAATATAAAATAATAAGCTGGTTGGACCTTTGGACCCATTGAGTAAGATTGTTTGGAGATTACTTCTAAATTCTGATGAATTAGGGTTAAAATGGCTTCTACCAAACTAGCATCAGCTTGGATAGTTGCTTCTCCTGAGTGCATCCTAAGAAAATTCTGTAAAACTGGTTGGATTTGGCAGGAGCCGGGGTCAGGGGCACAAAGCTTCTTGAAGTGTTTAAGTAGCGATTTGATCTTAGGATCAAAAAGTTTTCACATGAGTTTCAGAGAAACAGGAGGTGTTTAAATATGTAGCTCAGCTCTCCTACAAGTTACCTTCTCGTAAAAACCTGTGTTTTTATTATGTCCCTGCAAACTCGAGGTCCGAGGCAGCTATGGCCGGTGAAGCGTCAGGCACCCCCGTGTGCTGATAGCCGCCGGGTTTAGACCTGCGGTCACCCTGCGGGAATGCCGCCTGCTTGGCGGCTGGCCCCTTGGCCGCTGGGAAGGCAGCCAAGCCGCCAGATAAGAGCCTGTCAGTGAGCAGCGCCAGCGTCCACACCACCCCGGGGACCCAGACACCCACTGCCGGGCGGCATCTCGTGTCCCTGGGGTAAACTGCACCCCAGCCGCTCAGCCTGGCCAGCCACCCCAGGACCGTGCCCGAGAGCAGGGCCTTCAGAACATGCCACATCCTCTGGCTGTCCTCACCCCCAAGCTTGGCTTCCCTCCTTCGTGTCTGACGCATGTGCGCACATGTGTCCTCTCCATGTTCACCCTCATCTCCACAGCAAGTTCTTGTGAACAGCCAAGTCCACGGCCTGGGTCCTGTGTGGTGCCCTCCTGACAACGGCATGATCTCTGAGATTAGATCAGATCACGCGCTCTGGGCAGAAATGGGACGCAACCCAAACACGACATGAAATGTGTACAGTGAGACCCTTACGTGACTGTCGGGCATGGTTTTTGAGGAGGAAAATGAGCCCCTTGACGTGATCACAGCCATCATCTGTGGGGAGCAGGAAGACTGCCGTGCAGGCTGCACCCCCACTTCTGGGCGTGGGAGACCACTTGGGACAACCAGGCCCTGAGTTGCATGCCTCCAGAAACTCAAGCATGTTTTTTCCAAGTCACTAGCGATCTAAGTGGAACTGTCATTTAAACTTAGCTCTCAAACAGCCCATTTATTTTTCTTTAACAAGCTGTAGTCTGTGGAAGGGGCCCCAAGCCATACTTGTAAGGGTGAGATGGTTACAGCTATGTGCCAGGCGCTGTGCCATTCACATATGTCATCTGACCTTCTTGTCACGCTGAGGCCGACTTTGTTATCACAGCATCACGTGCAGCAGCACATGGACAGGTTAAGTGACTTACCTGCTGTCACAGCCGAGTGAGTCCAAACAGGGACCGGAACCCAGGCACCTGGTCCCAGCACTGGTGTTCGTGAGCGCTGTTCCCATCAGTGCAGGCTCTGCCGTGCAGATATGTCCAGGATCCCAGAGGAAACAGGCTCTTCACCCTCTTTTCCAAAAACAGGCAGACCTCTGTCAAGTGCAACCAAGCCTGGGCACATTGTCAGTCTCTCCAACGAGTGCCTCAAGCTGGCAGCCGTGCAGCTGGGCAGTTCTGCTGGGGGGCGAGCATGGCGTGGAAGGCCGGGCAGGCTCGTGATGTCCTCCCTGTGGGTGTCAGAAAGGGGCAGAATTGGCCGAGATCAGAGTGACCCAGGGAGCAGTGCCCAGCACCCACCAGGCAGGCAGGGACCCCAGGACACCAGGTGCCAAGAGCTTGCCTGACACTCATTCACCCTAAGTGCCCTTGTGTGCGTGGTCCTGTGCCCGTCACCCAAGGATGAGGAGGGGGTCACCCCAGGCTCAGGAGCAGGGCCCTCCCAGTCACCACCTCCTGGCCAGAAGCCGCCGAGGTTACTTCCCTGCTCCGAGCCCTGTGTTGGGATGAAGCTGGTTCCAGGGATGGGACAGCGGAGGGGAAGCTGGAATGGTAAACCTCAACGGAGGGCCGCCCATGGCAACAGGGCTCAGGTCTGTGTTTCCAAAGTCCCTTACATGTCATGGTCAGCAGCTCCAACTGTGGTGGCCGGGCCGTGTCGCCACCGCCACAGGAGAGCCCTGGGCCCGGAGCAGCAGCAAGTGCCGTGTGCCCGTTGGGATGCTGCAGGCCTGACCCGGCCGGTGCTCTCGGGCTGTGCAGGCCTCTCCCTCCACCTGTGGTCCCTGATGGCAGCATCTGGAGAGGCCGACGCTCACGTTACAGAGCAGCGTGATCCTGGCACCATGCCTTTTCTTTATCATCCACTGGCAGGGAGACGGGCTGTGCCACAGGCCACTTTGTCCTTTAGGGTCCCAGGGAGGGCAGCCCAGCCGCTGCATCAGGTTCTTCAGCTCTGGACGACATTTCTAGTAAATTCTAACCTGAAACCAACACAAGGCTTTGGTTGCCATTTTGTTTTTAAGGTTTTTTCCTTCAAAATGGATGTGACTGCAGAATGAAATGAATTATTTGGGGGACTCCAGAGGGCGGGGTGCATCAACGGTGGAGGCGCCTGGAGAGGCTGAGCTGCCGGAAGCCCAGACCGCCCAGTGCTCCACCCAGAGGGTCCCTCTTATTCCCGCAGGGTTACTGATGGATGGTCCCCCACCCCCGCCCTGGGGCTCGCAGCCCTCATTCCTCCTGCAACGCTGTGCGAGAGGTGGGGCGCATAGGAGGACTCAAGGCCCGCTTTCCAGTACGTCCCGGCCCTGGGCTCCCCCCCAGGGTTCAGCGTCTGCAGATGGGACTTGGTCCTGAGCAGGGAAGAGCTCACCAGGCCCAATCTCCCTCCCGCAGGCGCCAGGACCCCGGCTCTCTGGCACCCAGTATAGGTCTGGTCAGGCCCTGAGGAGGTCAGGGGTTCATGCCAGCAGCGCTCCCCTGCCTTCTCTGAGCCCAGAGGTGGTCTCCCCCTCCTGCAGCATCCCCCCACCCTCCCAAAGAGGAAGTGCACCCCCAGGAGGGGAGGGGCAGTAGCCCACACACAGTCAGCACAGGCAAGTCTGTGGGTGGCTGTGGGGTGCAGCTGGCTGTGCCCTCCCCACCCCAGCCCTCTCTCCACCATGTCGTCCAAATCCATCTACCACCTCTGGCCTTGGTAACCTTACCTGGGAAAACCAGTGTGGCAAACCCGACCCACCCCAGGCAGACTGAGTGACGCACAGCGCCTGGGCCCGCCCGCGGGGCAGGGCCTGGCCAGGCAGTGTGCTGGGCTTCCCTTGGGGAACAGAGAGGTGGAGGTGGGAGAGACTGAGCTGCCTGCACCTCAGACGCGGGGCCTTAGAGCCCAGGTAACAGGCAGGTTCCAATCCAGCCTGTCCTCATGGGGACAGACCATTAGCCGGATGTGATGACCCCGGGCTTTTCCTGGCTGCTGGCGTGTAACTGGGGCCAGGGCAGTAACGGACTGTGGTGACTGAGGTCCAAGGGGAATCTAAGGGGACTGTGTGCATGTCAGGTCTCTGTGTAGCAGGGTCTCAGGAGATGAAGCCCCATGATTTCCCTCCTCTTGGGGCACGGGTGCAGGTCCTGTGTCCCCTCTGCCTTGGGGGCTTGCAGGGCAGTGCCCTCGCTCAGCTTCACCCTGCCATTCCCTCTCCTCTGCAGACTACTGGTGCCTGGATGACCTGTACCGGGAGATGGTGAGACGCTACGTGGAAGTCCTCGAGAAGCTCCCAGAACCCCGGGCAGACCCAGCTACCGTGGAGAGCTGCTCGCAGCTGAAGCCAGATAACTACCTCCTGGCCTGGCACACACCTTTCAACGAGAAGGGTCAGGGAACGCTTCCTTCCCCGTGACGCGCGTGCCGGGGAGCGGCGCAGATGCTAACCCACCCACTGTCCCACTAACCAGCCGCACAGCAGGTTGGCGCACACTAAGCGGTTCCCAGGGCTCCCTGCGGGGCAGCACCTCCGCCTGGAGAGCCCACCCGCCCAGTGGGCATCTAGTCAGGGGATGCCAGCTGCCCCGGAAGTCTTGTCACCATCCCCCAGTTTATTTTCAGAAATATTTTCCACTGCTTTCTCTTTGAGTTTGTATTTCTGGCTAAAGCATCATTCGCCACCTTGTCAATATCTGTCTCCACGATGCTTTCGGGTGTCTGTGGGCTGCTTGAGGGGCGCGTGTCTGCCTCCAGGGCCCTGCTACTGGGGTCATGGGCCTGCCCCACTGGTTTATGCTAAAGGGTGGTGTCTATGAAATGCTGCTCTGCATGCAAAGAAGCAGGAAAATGGTCACAATGAGGAGAAAACCCAGGAAGCCCAAACCAATGAGACCCCACATAGATGCCAGGCCCGTCAGGCAGGAATATGAAATAGCACGTATTCCACATTCTCAAAAAGCTAAGTAGAAGCATGGCAGTGTAAAAAAGACCAGACCCATCATCCAGGGAAAACACTGCACTGTCTGAGCTTTAAAATACAGGGGCTGGGGCTCACGGCAGGTCAGACATTTCAAAAGAAAACACTGTGAGTCCAGAGGCACAACAGCAGAAACTATCCAGGTGGGACACAAGGGAAAAGCGGCCCGGAAGTACGAGCAGAGCGCTGTGAGCTTGGGGACGCCCCAGCCTCCTGGGGACACGGAGGCCCCCGGCACCCCTCGCTCAAAACCCAGCACAACGGAAAAAGACACGTGCCCAGAGAAGGACGGCGGCACGCCTGCCGGAAGGGGCACCAGGAGGAGAGTGGAGCAGCATCACCGAGGCGCAGGGACCAGGCCAGGCTGGCAGCCCACATCCAGGAAGCTGTCTTTAGGGAATGATGGCTGCCTGGCCTCTCCCAGGCGAACGCCAGCCGGAGAACCCGGCACCAGCCAACCTGGGCCGTGCCAGGGGGCCGTCCAGGCGGGAGGGAGGCCTCCCAGGTGGAGACCGTGGGGGCCGGGTCCTCGGTGGGTGCGTAAGAACTTCAGGCTCATGAGCTGACTCCGTAAGAGGCAACTGACTTAAAAATAAAAACGTTCTTCAGGGTTTATAAAATTTGTGTGAGCGGATGTCTGTCACGATAGTGTAAAGGCTGGGGGGCGAGGGGAGGCACCCACTGCCCTGGGCGTGAAGCAGCGGAGCAGCAGAGAAGGCAGCAAATGGCTGAACGGTGACCCCAGGACAGCCACTCGTACGCCCGACGGTTAAGCTAACCAGCCAAGAGAAGATGGAGTCCCTAAACGAAATACCTGCCGGGGGACAACTGTCATGTGACCTTGCCCCCAGGCCTGCCCACCCAGCGCTCCAGGCCAGCACCCTCCCCTCAGGGAGACCAGGCCCTCTGTCCTGGCACACGGTGACCCTGCTTGCACTGCTTCAGCGTGAGCACCGCAGCACCCCCACTGTGGGGTGGAACGGGGTCTCCACCTGCAGCACGAGAGGGTGTATTCTGCCCACTGCCTGGGCACACGTGCCCAGGGCATGGCACCAGTGTGGCTCCCACCACTGTCCTTTCTCTGGTGAAAACCTTGCTGCAGCCCGTGGCCATGTGTGGGGTCCTCCTTGGTGACTCCAGGCACGTGGCAGGCGCAGAGGACCGAGGACTGTGGGCTCCTCCTGGTGGTGGACACTGAATGGCGTCCTCCACACGTGGGGGCTCTTTGCCTGGGACTGGAAGCCAGATCTTTCTGCTCAACAACATTCAATCCAAGAGAGGCAGAAGGGAGAGGAAAGGGCACCGGTACCGGGACCGAGAGCACAGAGCAAGGGGACAGGCTTCAGCCCCACCGGCGAGTACCTCAGGTGTGCGCACGGTCTGAAGACAGGTGAATGGTGGGGTTTTCACGGGATGAAGAAGCAAGCTCAGCCATGCGCTGCTTAAAGAAATACACTCTCAGCACAAAGACATGGACTGGTCAGATGGAGAAAGGCATCCCGTGCTGGCATTAGTCAAAAGAAAGCCGCAGTGACTTCAGTCACAACACAGAAAGTAAATTTTGGAGCAAGGAATATTGCCGGGGGAAAAAGGTAATTTTATCATGACAAATACATCCACCCATCAGGAAAACATAAGCCTAAACATTTCTGCTTGAATAAACCTTCAAAGCACATGCAGCAAAAACAGACTGAGCTGCAAGACAGACAGACAAGTCCAGACGCAGGCGGAGACTTCGTTACTGGGGCCTCAAGCCAGTGACTTCAGCTTTCTCCTTGAGAAACTGGTAGAGGGAAAGCAAATTAAAACCAAAGAAACAGAAATAACAAGGAGCAGAGAGAAAACCAAACAAAACAGAAAACAAGAAAACCAAAAGCGGATTCGTTAAGATTAAAAAGAGTTGATAATCATCCGACCCAGATGGATGAGGATGAACGGGACACATAGAGCTGCAGTATTAAGGCAGGGCAAGGTGACATCCCCAAGAGTCCGTGAGAGGGACAGGGAGATGGGGGCGTTACTAAAAATCTTATGCCAATAAATTTAACAACTTAGAAGAAATAGACAAATTCCTCAAAAGACACGAAGTAGTAAAGGCAACTCGAGAGGACATCATCTAAATAGCACTATATCTCTAAAGAAATTACAGAGAAAAATCCCAGGGCCAGACAGCTTCAGGGGGAAGTCTACCAGACATTTAAAGAAGAAATAATACCAATTGTACACAACTCTTCCAGGAAATTAAAGAGGACTAGTGCTTCCGAAATGCATTTCTCTGCTCTCCAGAAAACTCTGAAATAAGGAATGAAAAGGGATGCCGCAGACTGGGAGAAGCTGTCGGCAAAGCCTCTATCTGGTACAGGATTTGAATCCTGAATGTGTAGAGAACTCTTCAAACAAAGCAACCCAGCACAAAAGTGAGAGAACTGTCTATACGAACATTTCACCAAAGACGTGGACGGCAAAGAAGCTCATGAAAACCCGGTCAGCGTCATTTGTCGTTAGAAAAATGCAGATCGAAGTTAAAAAGACCGACCGCAGAAAATGTCCAGATGTTGGGGGGAATGCCCGGGGGGCTGTAGAATGATCCAACCACTTTGGAAACTGTTTGGCAGTTTCTTAAAAAGTCAAACATTCACCCATCATGCGAACTAAACTTTCTACTCTTTACCCAAGAGAAAAGAAAGCACATGTCCACAGGAAGATCTGGAGATGAATGTCCACAGTATCTTTACTTACAACAGCTCCCAAAGGGAAACTGCCCAAATGCCATCAGCAGGAAAATGGATACACGCATGGTGGCGCGTCCATCCAGCGGGGCACTGGTCAGCCAAGAGGAATTGTCTACCTGCCTTCGCTGGGCTTCACAGGTGCTGTGTTCTTCACACACTGCGGGTTGGTGGCGACCCTGCATTGAGCCTGTGTCGGAGCCGTTTTCCCAGCAGCGCTTGCTCACTCCGTGCCTCTGGGTCACATGTGCTGATTCTTGGCGATATTCCAAACCATTTCATTGTCACCATATTTGTACAGTGACCTGTAACCAGCGAGCACCACTCACTTGAGAGTTCAGATGACCGTTAGCATGTTTTAGCAACAAAGTGCTTTAAATGGAGGTACGTGCGCTGTTGTCAGACATAACACTACTGCACACGAGCAGACCACAGTTGTGTGCGCGGCCTTTGCATGGCTGGGACACTAGACAACTCATTCAGCTCGTTTTACTGTGACACCTGCTTCCTTGGGTTGTCTGGAACCGACCCGCACCTCTGAGGTTTGCCTGCATAGATACCATGGATGGGTCCCAAATAGTCATGCTGTGTGAAAGAAGCCAGGCAAAAAAAAGTACATTCTGTATGATTCCATTCATTTAAGCTCTAGAAAATGCAAACTGACGTACGTCAGATCCGTGCCTGGTGGGGAGAGCGGGTGGGGGTGGCAGACACAGTCACTGCCTCACGTGGGTGCCAGCAACGGGCATGTCAACACTTACTTGATACTTTAAATATGTGTCTCAGTTATACATACATAACTAACTCGGCAGAGCTATTTTTAAAGAGAGAATGTGTGATTGAAAGCAAACTGGACACAGTTCTGTCTTCTACATTTTTCCCAGAAGAGGCAAATGATGAGCAGTTCCTCGAACCATCAGAAGTCATTTTTAACAGCTGAACAACATTCCATACGTGGAGGCTTTGCAGTTTACTTGACCTCTTTGTCAGACATGTGGGTGGTTTGCCTGTTACTCATTCATTTAAATGGCACTGTGATCACCATGTTACTACATGAATTTTTATACATTTTCAGCTTATTCATGAAAGTTAGATTGCCAGAGGTGGAATCCCTGGAGCGAAGGTCTAACCTGAGGCCCCCGACGCCCCACGCAGGTTCAGGATTCGGAGCCGCCAGCAAAGCGATGTGCATCGGCATGCGGTACTGGCAGCCGGGGCGCCTGGGCACCCTCGTCGAGGTCAGCATCGAGTGCGGCAGGATGACGCACAACCACCCCACAGGTAGGGCCGTGCTGGGCCCGGACCACCCCCAAGCGACCCACTGCGCTCACTCTGCTTGTCTGTTGGCACACGGGGGCTTCTAATCTTTGCTTCTGCTTAAATTCTGTTTTCAACCGAAAAAGAGGGATTGGCAGTAAGTGTGGTGGTGTTGCAGAGACAGAATTCTCATTGGCTTCATGTCAGAATAGAAGAAAAAGGAACGTTATATGAGTGGCTGGAATCCGGGTTGAAGTGGGACTTAGCGGATGTGCCACATGCGGTGAGGCGTTGCCCGCTGCCCAGGCTGTGTGGGCTGGGGGAGCCAGTAAGTGCCCCAGACCCTCCTTCCTCTCCTGACCGGGACGACCCCAGCGCCGGGAGCCGGGCCGTCCTCTCCCGAGGGTGAAGTGAGGCTGCAGTTAGTGGAGCACAGGCCCTCGGCACCTGCTCACAGTGCCCCGGGACAGTGCCCCACACTCCATCAGATGGGAGCTTCCCTAGGGCGTCAGCTCATTTCTAAAAGGAAGACTGGCTTGAATCTCTCATACCTGTGCCACTGTGCCCCCTGAAATGGTGGCGAGGCAGGGGCATGCCCCTCACTGCCCCAAGAGGTCTAGGGGATGCCAGCTGCTCCCCTGCCTGGCCTCCTTTAAGGCCGCTCCCAGCACCCAGTGGAGCAGGCGTCACCACCAAGGTCCTGAGGGGCGCCCGTGCCGTCCCAAGGGCACTGGTGGGGTGCAGCGGCAGCCGGGCGTCTGAGGAATGGACGTGGCACCAATGGTCCTCTGCCAGCGGCCACGGGCAAATATGTTCACTAGATCTTGAAAGTTCAGTGGAAAGCCCGCTATTTCAACCAAACGGCAACATCTCAGAGGGTTGGAAAGCAGCGCGTGCCAGGTGTGGCTAACTGGTCCAATAATGTGAAGCGGACACAAAAAGCCTTCGGCTGTGAGTGTTGAGCCTCTGGAAACAAAACGATGAGCACAAGGGTCCAGTGAGAATTTAGAGGGCTGAACATCGGCTAGGAGATTCCCCATTATCATTGAAGAGTGTATTTCAGGTGTTTAGTAGGTAAATGACTTGTATATCTAGAATGGTGGGTGAGACGTGCGGGTCCAAGTGTACACAGTTCGCAGTGGAAGTGCGTTCACCTCCACTCCTTTGCGCTTTTCAAACCGCTGTCGGCAGTGAGCGTCAGTTTTTGTCGTAGTGGCTGCTGTCCCTGCTCCAAGCCCAGTGCTCTGTGAGAGGGCAGCAAGGTGGCGGTCGGGACCACAGTTAGCACTCTGGGTGCAGGAACCAGTCGCTTACTCCCACACCTGATGCCTTGGGCACAGAGGGCACCCCTTCCAGGTGGCAGCGCTGAGACTCCTGTGCCCACAGCAGCCCTGGCCAGGAGTTACCGCTCCCCTCTGTGCAAGAAGCATGTCAGAACTCAAGAAGCAAGGACCCCAGGCCTGTCTGGATAGTGGCATGTGGGTGCCCAGAGCCGAGAGCCCGGCTGGTCTGCCTGCCAGCTCTGCCCTCTGTCTCCACTGCCCTACAGGCTTCCTCGGGTCCCTGTGCACCGCCCTGTTCGCATCTTACGCTGTGCAAAGCAAACCGCTGGTGCAGTGGGGCCGAGACATGATGCGGACCATGCCGATGGCCGAGGAGTACTGTAAGAAGACCATCCGGCACCTGGCAGGTGAGCCTGGCCTCCTCCAACCCTGTCCGTGGGCCAGGAAGGGCTGTTCTCAATTCACACTCAGGACGGATTTGGAAAGACCTGGCTCCCAAAGAGGTCCGGGTTCTCTCAGCTGTGGTGAGCCCGGGAGCATCCCCATGTGTCTGCCTGAGGGCGACCCCACAAGGAAGTTGTGAGGCAGGGCCTGGCCAAAAAGCAACCTCTGCGTGTTGCGCCTGGGCCGGCTAGGGGCACGGGGTGCTGGGTGCCGCAACCCCAGCCTCTGGTCTCTGCAGCCAGAACAGGGGCGGGGCATACCTGGAGTCACTTTTCAAATTTCCCTGAAGTACCCATTCCTGAGAGGGATGAGGACATGGACACTGACGCCCACCCTGCTGCTGGACCTAGTGGGCGACTGAGCCCTGACCAGGAGGCCAGACAGAGCCGGGTGCCCGCTGGGGACACATGCTCCCAGCTTACCCGGCGCTGCTGCCACGCGGCTCAAGGCTTCCGGCAGCCAGTGAGGGATTCCTCGGCCCGTCCTGCAGAGGCCAGGGGCCGTGGCGCAGCTGGGGCTGGGCGAGCAGAGCCCTCAGCTCATACCCCTTTCCCGCGAGCTCCCAAGGCAGGCTGGCTGGACTGCGGGCGCAGGGCTGTCTCCTCAGGCCTTTAACATCGAGCAGGATGGAGACACACCTGCAGCTTCAGGCACCCTGCAGAGGAGCATTTCCGGAAGGACCCACTCGTGCTGGAGGGAGAGGATGGAGGGTGTGGATGCAGGCGCGGGTGGGGTCTTCTAAACAGCCTGAGGCTGATATCTCGACAGAGAGGCAGTCAAGTCACTCACTGTCACCCTGCCAGGTGTGACTCCACTCTGAAACGCCTTGTGGGAAGCTTCTAGAACAACTTCACAGCCGCCTGGACACAGCGCTGGCCCTGTCTGATGAGCAGTGAGCCACCTTGCTGCTCTGGGCCGGCCTGTGTCTGTGAGCTCAGCCGTGCACACAGTGGCGGGGCCGCACTTTGTTTCTTGCGTCCGATTTAGGTCCATGTTAGGACCTCAGGCTCTCTGCAGCCAGGGACCAGGCCTGTGGGCCAGGCCACCCACCTCTCAGCCAAGTCAGGCCACCTTCCCCGTGTGGAAGGCAGGTGAGCCAGCCAGTGGGAGACCGCGCAGCCCGCTTCACGCTGTGCCAGCAAACATTTCCCGAAGAGCCTTGAACAGGAGTCAGAAATGTCCCCTGAGCAAGGACAGGGAGTAGGGTCGCTATTCAGAGAAGTCTTAGACTTTACACTTTGATTGATTTTAAATCTGACTCCCAAGTTTATGACCTTCTATGGTGCAGACCCTTTTTAACAGAACACCTAAAATTGTCCAGAGAAAATAATGTTCTGAATGACAGCCACAGGAAACATGCTTCTGGGGCCTTGTGCTCAGCGCACGACAGCGTCCCCGGCAGGATGGGCGACCAGCAGTTAGCACCACGCCTTCACGTTCAGATGTCCATCCCCACAGTGGACGGCCATGTGCTTGGGAGCGAGGCGGCCCCCCCACCCCGCCAGAACCCCACCGTCTGCACCCATGCTGACAGGAGGCACTGGCCTCTGCAGGGCCAGGGGTCTTTGAATTCCTGTCCCTGCCCTATGGCTCTGACTCTTTTCACTTTTAATCTCATTTCCCTGAAACGGGCCGTCTGTTGGCTCTGCTTTTAGTTTTGTGAAAGAGTCGGGCCAGCACTTCCCAGAGCCTGCGATTCTCTCAGCAGCCTGGAATGTTATCCCAGAGCCTGTTCCGGACACCTCATGGTGTCCCTGTGGCTAGAAGGGCACAGTCTACAGCCAGTGACCCTATCCCGTCTCCCTGCACGGCCCCCTGACAACAGACAGGTACTGCGGGGGGCCCAGGGGAGCCAATGGTCCCCTTGGGTGTTGCTGGCCACATAACCACCCTGTCCCACTCCCTGGCGGCCGGTGGAGCACGGGCCTGCCAGCCTCGTGCTGTGGGGGACAAGATCGAGGGTGCTCGCCCAGCCGCCAGGCTGGGGGGCAAAGAGGCTGCAATGGTCCTGATTCTCTGAGACCCAGAGCGCTGTCCCCGTCATCTGCGAGCCAGCCCAGCCTGTTTCTGATCAATGTCCTCTTCACCAAAAGACTTCAAAAAGCCACTTGTACACCTCTGGGGCTTGGATGTCCAGCTGCTAATCAGGAATAATGCAACACCCTCTCTCCCTACTTCGCCGGCAAGGGTTGAATCAGTAAAGATATACAGGTTCGGGACTTTTGAGAGAATGGGCTTACGGATATCGCCCTCGCCATCCCAGCCTTGGCGCGGTTCCTCCGTCTCCGCCTTCCTCGCTATTGTTTCAAAGTAGCTGCAAATATAAGCATTTTCAGATTTCCGCAGCAATGGCCAGGGCAAGGTGCCGGGCTTTCCCCCCAGCCCCTCCGCTGGGTGGGGGGCTTTTTCTCTGCCTCCCTGACCACGGTGTCCCCACACCCACCCCTCGGCCAGCTGGAGGGCCCCCACATCATGCCCACCCTACTTTCTATGTTTAGAATACCAAGAGCACTGGTTTTACTTTGAAGCTAAATGGCAGTTTTACTTGGAGGAGAGAAAAATCAGTGAAGACACAGAGAGTAAAGCCACCTTCCCTGAACGTTACGACGCGGAGGAGAGGGACAAGGCAAGTCTCACCCACACCTGACCTGTTTCTGCCTTGACAGCCTCAGTCTGGGGGGGCCCAGGCTTTAGCACTGGGCTGAGGGAGCTGCCGGGGGGGCACGGAGGACTCTGAGGAAGGGCATGTTTAAAACGATCTTTTATCATTTTCCAGCACATACTGTAATTTGAAAATGCGATTTTTATACATATTCCATCTCACTTTATCTCTTCTAGGAGCTAAGAATATAATATAAAGTTGCATAGGAAGAATAAAATCATACAAACCGCCCTCGCTGCCCATTCTGAGAAACCCCTAGGTAACTGCGGCTTAGCCAAGACTAAAGCTTATCGCCCTTATGTCAGGGGACCCGGGCTGAGTCTCGAGTCTCCTTGCAGAGCAGGCTGAGGACCCTCCTGTCTGGCTGCTCTGTCATTCGAGTGCCTCGCCTCACTGTCCAAGCTAGCTGCTCCAGCTCCGGCCAGCTTGCCCGCATTCCAGAGGTCAGCAAAGAGCACGAGGAAGCACCCTTCCCCCTCCATGTACCTCTCCTCGGCTCCTGGGCTCAGGGAGATGCAGAAATGTAGCTCTTCAGCAGGAGACACTGCTGCCTCAGCCAGCAGGAAGCTGCTGCCAAGACAGTGTGTGATCTGCCCGTGTCACACACACACACACACACACACACACACACACACACACTGACCTGCAGATGTCCCCCATCCCCCACAAACTGACCTGCCGATGTCCCCCCATACACACACTGACCTGCAGGTGTCCCCCCATACACACACACACACACACACACTGACCTGCAGATGTCCCCCATCCCCCACAAACTGACCTGCCGATGTCCCCCCATACACACACTGACCTGCAGGTGTCCCCCCATACACACACACACACACACACTGACCTGCCAGTGTCCCCCCGCCTACCCTCCCACACACAAACACCCAGCCCATTGGGCTCCTGGCTCTCTTTAGTCCACAGCACCTCCAGGGGTTCTCTCAGGGCACCACGTGCTGGGCCGCCCCCAGCTGCCTTCACACAGGTTCTCCTGCCCCACGGGCCTGGCTCCCAACCCCACCGCCTTACCACCTGCTGTGGCACTCACTTGCCCCTTTGCCTACACAGACCGAAGGCCACGGCAGAGTAGCCCCTGTCCTTGTCACACAGCCCTGCCACAGTGCCCAAAGGCACAAAGCCCTGTCCCTTTGCTGAACTGTTTCTTGTCATGGACTTTATGGCCACTGACACAATGCAGTTTACCTGCAGAATGTCCATCCCAAAAAGAGCCGCGGGAAGTCAGCCTGCTCGCTGTCCGCCATCAGCCCAGGCCATGCCTTGCACACACTGGTGCTCCATAAGTGTGCAGTGCTCCATAGCGGCCGCTGGATGCCAGAAGGCACGCGGGCTAACCAGATGGGCACCATTGTGGCGTGTGACTCTGACCTGTGTCTCTTCAGGTTTACAGGAAGTGGAGCTCGGAAGGCCGAGGGGGCCGCCGGGGACACGATGCCCCCATGATTGCATATGACGCCCTCTTAGGAGCCGGGGACAACTGGACAGAGCTGTGCCACCGGGCCATGTTTCATGGAGGTGAGACTCCGTCTTTAATGTCTTGGGGTCCCGGCAGCTGACAACCCCTTCTCATTGTGAAGCACCCCTCAGGGTGCCCGGTGCTGTAGGCCTGGAGGGCGCCAACCTCTTGATCCCCGGAATTCGGGTCCTCCCTGGAGGAAGCTGGCCCCCGCGGGCTCAGCAGAGAACTCGGGGCGCAGGAAGTCCTGCCAGCGAGTCTGTGCTGGAGAACGTGGCGGGCGATGCATAGCCGGGCGCAGCGCTGCGCTTCCTGGCTGGCGATTCAGGGTGCAGGCGCGTCTGCCCTGGGCCGCCACCTGACTGGTCTGCCCTGGGCGCGCTCCGCAGCCAGAGGCGGCGCCTTGGAGGCCGCGGCCCTGGGTCCAGACGCCGACTCCGGGCCTGTCTTCTCCGGGACGAGCGCGGGGAGCCTCCCTGCGGGGTCTCCGCAGCATCCTGGTGACGGGCCCTGGACCCCGTCCGCCCTCCGAGAGGATGAGACACCCGCGCTTCCCAGGGCAGCGGGGCCGCCTCCGGGAGAGCAGGGGGCGGGGCGCGCCAGGGGCGAAGGCGGGCGGCGGGCGGCACCCGAGCAGCGGCGCAGGAGCGGCGCGTACTCGGCGCCGTCCCCACGGGAGGGGCCCGGGGCGCGCGGTCGGCAGGATGCGCGAGGCGGGGAGGCGCCGCGGGGCGCCCCAAGCCAGCCTGGGGTTGGGTGCAGGGGGCCGGGAGTGGCTCCGGGGCGGGCTCGGGGCAGGGGGCCGCCGCCGGCCGCTCCGCCCGGGCCCTGAGCGCCTGTTCCGTTGCAGGCGAGAGCGGGGCCACCGGGGCGATCGCGGCCTGCCTGTTCGGGCTGCTGCACGGCCTGGACGCGGTTCCCGCCGGCCTGCGCCGGGGCCTGGAGCACGAGCAGGAGCTGCTGCGCCTGGGCGAGGCTCTGCACCGCCTGTCCTCGGAGGAGAAGTAAAGCCGCCGCGCGCCCCTCCCGGGCCCGGGCCCCCCGGCCCCCCCCCCGGCCCCCCCTCCGCCCTGATCGCCTCTCGGAACCCTAATCGCTGTGTAAAATACATCGTTTGTCCTGCGAGACTATCCTCCCGCCCCACGCAGCCCCCGGCACTGCCGGCGCACGCGGGACCCGCCGCCCCCGCCCCCTCCGGGGCGCGGGGTCTCTGGGACAATTGGTGTATTTTATTCGGTCGCAGAACTAATGCCGCCCGCTCAGCCGCGCCGACGACACTAACCAGGGCCTGGCCGGGCGGCTCGGCCACCGGCCCCTCGCGCTGGGCCTCTAACCAGCCGCCCGGGGACGACTAACCGGGCCGGCGGGAAGTGCAGGGACCGCCGCCGCGCGCGGACCCCTCGCTCCAGCACGGGGCGCACGTGCTGCTCCGAGCGCCCGGCCGAGCCGGCTGTTGGTGCTCGAGGCCCCTTTTCCCGGGGGCGCCCTCCCGCCGGGGACACCCGCGGGTTCCCAGCACGAGCAGCGCTCCGGGAGCTTCAGCTTTGGCTTCTGGTTCGAGCTGCCCTTTGCTGCTGGCGCTTTTCGGCCCCAGGAGGGTAAAGTCGGGCCGGGGGGACTCCCGGTCGCGCAGCCGCAGCGAGTGGCGCTGAGGACGCCGTCGGGGTGATCTCCCAGGGGCGGAAACCCCCGCTCAGGTAAGGGCGCCCCTCCCGCACACCGGGACACTGACCTCGGGGACAGCGCGCCTCCCCTGTGGCCCCCCTGCCAGGCGCTGGCCTTCGTCTCCACAGCTTCAAGCACTGATTCCACCGAAAGTCAGGACGTGAGTAGGTTTGCAGGTTGGATTTGACCAAATACAGAAACAGAATTCGTAGGAATCATAAAAAAGTGAAACTATCTCCCCATTTCACTTCCCTGTGGTACAGAAACGCAGAAGTGGGGAAGAAAAACAAGCCACACTAAGTAGGGTGAATGTCACCCCTACTTGAATTTCTAAACATTAATCCTTGTTGGCCTCACTCTGTCATTAAGCTAGTTCACCACAGCTGAGAAAGTCAAACGCTGCCAACCACGGCACTGGAAGGCTGGATTCTTGCAAACCCTCACCCAGGTGCGGAGGAAACAGTGGGTCCCCGTCCGTCCTGCAGCCCCCCAGACTTCACCCCATCGGGCATGTGCTGCACTCACAGTTTCTTTCCGTGATAGGAACTGCTGTGTAAATAATGGTTTGCTTTGCGTTTTTCTCTGTCATCACGGTGTCTGCCGCAGCCTTTGCTGCCCCAGAACCGTGATTCACGTGACTGGACCCTGAGAGGGAGCTTGCGTGTTCCATCCCGTGACATTTTTAAGCACTGTCCCGCTGCCTATCCACATAGCAAAACCACCTCTCATTCTCAGTGCAGGAGTGTTCCTCCCTCCCAGTTATGGATGCAGACGACTCAGAGGCAGGGGTGGGTCCTCTGTGGTGGCCCCCTCCTACGCCCACAGGCCACACCCCTGTACCGATGGTCCCACTGCTGGCGCAGCTGGCGGGGGGACGTGAGCCCCAACTGCCCGGGGAGACATGCTCCCCATCAGGAAGGGCTTGCAGGCTGGCCACCACCTGTGTCCTCAGACAGGCACTGCCCCTCAGTGGCCCTGATATTGGGGGCAGTTCCCCTGACTGCTGAGAAGTGTTCAGACTCAGGCTGATTTTGATAAGTTCATGTTTCCAAATTCTGATTAAGAGATTCTGCATTTAGATTTCAAATTATTTCCCCAAAGCTCTCATATCTATAAGTCAGACAAGAGGTGAGTTTGGAGACCCACCTAGGGACAATCACTTGAGATCAGAGTGCCCACTACGGGGGCCCAGCAAGGTCCAGCTGCCTGACCACCCACAGTGTGACTGCAGAACTACCCCCACGTCGGGTTCTCTGAACGGACTCCCATGTGTGCGCTGGCAGGTCTGCGCTGCCAGGTGGGAGAGAGCCGCGGGGCAGTCACTACCCTGCTCTGGAGAGGGGGCCTTGAGCTCAGGGGGTGCGGCTGCTAGTCAGGGAGAGTGGGACTTACACCCGACAGCCCTGCTCCTGCCCCACAGCGCCGCCGGTGGCCCCCTGCACCCCACAGGGAGATGCTTGGTGACCAGCAGCCCCAGCACCTGGGCGGGACCAGAAAATCCTTCAGGTGCCAGCTGGTGGAAGTGGAAGTTCTCAGATTGATTTGCCTCCCAGGCCTCCATCGCTGAAGTGCACCCCAAAGCCCTCGAGGGTGGGAGTGACTCTTAGGTGACCACGGCCCATTGAGCTGATGTATTCACGGGCAAGGAGCAGAAATGAGACCCAGGTCCTGCAGATCGTCAGGAGAAGCGTCAGCGCGGGAAGGAAATAGCAGCTGAGCCCTGGGGCCATGCCTGGCACTGTGGGGCGCCTGCTGGCCAGCACCCAGGAGCCCCGGCGGGGACAAGGCCATGGCATACACTGCCCTCTCTTCCTGTGCTTGGGTTCGGGTTCTGTGACCGATTCACAGTTTCAGCCAAGGCAGTGTGTGCTGTTCGTTCCCTGGAAGCATGGGGTGAGGTGACGCTTGCAGTGAGATCAGCGGCCGCACTGGCACCAGCCCGTGAGCTCAGCACACTCACGGTGGCAGGCCGGCTGCCCGAGGACAGGAGCAGAGCAGGAGGTGCCTGGCTCCTCACTCCCAACTTCTGAGCCCCTGGGGAGGCCGGGCATTCAGCGAGCACCTACTGTGTGCTGCCCCCCAGCTGCGGAGCGTGTGCACACAGAAGGGCACTGCCCTCTTCCTTCCCAGCTCCAGGCAGCTCACCCGCTGACAGCTGCAGGAGGGCTCTCAGGGCCCACAGGACACGTGCTGGGCAGAGGAGGAGAGGGCCAGCCCCAGGACACATTCTGTGCACCAGGTCCCAGGCACCCTGCTCTCCGGGGCCCTGGTGAGGCTGACCACGGGTTCTTTCCTCTTTCTTTCCGAGGACACCCTTGGGGTGGTCCCAGCTCCTTGGAGGACTGGGCCTGTCTTCCAAACCACCCTGGGAGACCCCATCGCAGGAGAGAACAAGGGGCCTGGGGGTGCCCAGGTGTTGCTTGGGGCCACACGCAGAGCAGCAGAGTGGGCACGTGCCCCTGGGAGAGCAGGGTGGTGCCGCCCAGGCGCTGCTGGCCAGGATGGCACCCGTGGAGAGCCCAGGATGGGTCGCTGCTTCCCTCTTGAGGCCCAGATCCCAGCCAGGCAAGGGGACAGGGTGTGTCGCCACACAGTGACTCCTTGTGCCCTTGCGTTCTCTTGTGACCTCTCGCCAGCCAGAGCTACTGACAGGACTAAATTAAGAAAGTTTACTGCAGCCTTCCTGTTTTCATTGGCCCCTGAGAAATGTGTTCCATTCCTGCCCTGGGATGGGCGTACCGTCAGTGCCCCCTCCAGCGGGCGGGGCAGCAGCTGCATGCGGCTCTCCTCTAGGCAGGGCTGACCTCGGCCTTGAGGAACTGACCCTCCCAACAGCTCTCTCACTTCCCAACCTTCAGGGCACCGGGCCAGGCCCCTTCAGCATCTTACTTCAAGCCAGGCCTGCCACAGGTGGGGAAGTCAGAGGAAGAGGTGCTGGGCCTGCCCTCCAGGCTGGCGGGACAGCGAAAGCAGGGCCCTGCCCCGGGGGCCACGCCTCCACAGGGCACACACGGAGTCCACTGCCATTCTGACTCTAAATTAAGCGGATGCAGAGGTCCACACCATAATGGTCCCTGTGGGGGACACTGAGAGCGTCCGTGGGATCAGTGGGGCCACTGCAAAAAGCTCCACTTGGAGGGGCATCTGAATAGGTCGTGAAGGATGAATAGGAGCTCAGGAGTGCAGGCTTTCCAGGCCAAAGGCTCAGTGTGGGCCAGGGAGGAGCTGGGACCGAGCAGGGAAATGGACGTTCTGGAGGCTGGAGCTTGAGGAAGAGCCCACAGGAGAGCCAGCCTGGAGGAAGGTCCCTCCCAGCGGCTGGCCCACGCGCAGAGGCGGCACCTGTGCTCTGAGCTGCACAGAGCCCACATGCACAGACCCTCGCCCTGGCAGCAACGTGTAGGGTAAACTGGACAAGGCCCCTCTCCGGGCATTTGCTGAGGGCCTGCTCCAGTTGACCTGCAGCAGGCCAGGGGAAGAAGAGGAAGGACATCCTGCCCCCAGCGGGGCACAGGCAGAAACATCAGTGTGGCTGAAGCTGCCCCGATCGTGGGTAGTGATGCCCACTCAGCGATGATGACACAGGCAACCCCTGGAGAACTCTGGCTGTGTGCTCAGGGCCCTGGCAGGATGGGGTGCGGGGAGCCTGAGGGGCCATGCTAAGCAGAGGGGCCTAGAGCAACACTCTGGGGTGGGGATGAGCTGGGGGCCAATCTCTAGCCAGGGCTGCCAGAGCCTAGTGCCAGGTGGGCCTGGGGACCAGGGTGGTGTCCCTGCAGGGGGGACAGGCGCCCAGCTCAGCAACGACGGATGCGGTTCAGGGCTTATAATGACAAGGACGTGATGAGCACACACCACACGACTGTCCTGCAAACGCCGGGCGCGGGGGCACCACAGGAGTGAGGCATCTTCCCAATGGCTGCTAAACACCGGGACTTGGTGATGGTGGCTGTGCCAGCGCTCGTCTAGTCCCTGTCCCCGGATAATGTCCTGAAACTCACCCGCTGCTGCCGGCTCAGGTGAGGCCACCTTGGCAGGGCAGGGCTCTCCTTAAGGAGATGCCCTGTTCCTCGGACTATAAATCTCGGAAAAGCATCCTGACTTTCTGTGGAGCGGACATTTCTTAAGTAATTGTGGAAGCATTTGGGAGCCTTCTGGCGCTCTGCCCACAGGCTGGTGGATAAAAACCGGCTGTGATGTGTACCGGCTGGGCTGGCCAGGCAGCTGGGAGCAAGTCTAAGATGCTGAGATCTCCAGGCCTGCTGGCTTAGCGGGACGCTGACCAGTCTTGGAACACAGCCGATGGTATCACTGGCTGCCAGGTCCCAGTGCAGGCACACAGGATGCATCTCACCCCAGTGTCTGAAGGACATGTTGCAAGTTCAGCCCAGTGCGAGGCTGTGGCGCGTCACTGTCACCTTGAGGGTGCACCACCGCCTTCCTGGATTGACGATGCATGGCCAGGGGTGCATGGGTGCTGACGCTGGGGAAGGAGGCAGGGGCGCACCATGCTTTGCCAGCTCACCGCCTCGGCCACTCCCGCCTCCCAGTTAGAACGGGAGATTGACGGATCAGCTTCCGATTTAGGCTTTGGGGCCAAACCCTGTGGGTGAGAATGTGTGAAAGGGCCATGAGGTCGCACAGGGCTGACCCCCGAGGCCTCCGTCCGGGCATCAGAACGTCCCCAGAGCATGTCAGCATGGCCGCTGCAGTCACATAATGGTCAGGGAGGTAAGTGACCACTGGCGAGCAAGTGGCTGTCCACTGGGTCCCAGGCCCCTCATCCCCACCTTAGACCTGGCAAGGCTCCCATGTGCAAGCGAGGATGGGGGCCTTTTCCCCATTCGGCTGGGTCAGCACACGTGGCCCTGGACAGAGAGGTACCATCAGCACGCTGCTGGGCCCAGGTGTGTTAATTCGGTCAATGAACCGAGGCCCCTCCTGTGTGAAGACACCTGGGGTAGGGGAAAGGAGAGGGGGCGATGGCGCTAGGTCAGCAGGCCTGGGGCAGGGTGGGCACCACGGGAGAGCCCAAGGCAGGCTGTCAGAGCCAGGTACCTGTGTCAGACGTGGGGGGCCATGACGCTGGGTGGGGGGGTTGTGATACTGGGGGGGGCGTGATGCTGGGGCAGCATGACGCTGGGGGTGTGTGACGTGGGGGGTCATGACGCTGGGTGGGCATGATGCTGGCGGGAGCCTTGACAGGTGGGGGGCCGTGATGCGGTGGGGGGCAGTGACACGCCGTGGGCCTCAGGCAGCAGGTTTTTGCTCCCATCAGAAGTGAGGAAGCCACCACCTGCAGGCAGCCCTCCCAGCTGCACCGCCAGAGCGGGAGTAGGACGGAAGTGTCAGCGGGCAGGGAGGCCTCCGTGCATCCTCAGGCTGCTGGGCGTGGCCACCGCGCGGCTGTGGGGTCTGGGGCACAGAGGGCCCCTGTGTTTTGGGGTGGGGCACGAGGTAAGGAAAATGGGAGGAGGATCTCCAGGTGCTGAGTGTTGAGTTCAGCCCCGTGTAATGTGCCGGGGAGACTCCAGATGTCGGCCAGATGCTCACGTCCACGAAGCCGGGCACAGACCACGCTCCAGCCAGCGCCCACTCGGCCAGCCCTGCGGCCCCCCGGGTCCCCAGTATCTCTAGGGCCACGTTTCTCAGACGTGGGTGACCAACGAGCCCGAAGAGGTGAGGAAGGGGAGGTAAACTGAGGCATGGCGCCGCAGGGAGAAAAGCACCGGCGGGGCTGGTGGTGTCCAGCAGGGGCCCGCATTCACCCAGGGGTGCTGCTCCCAGCGCCTCACGAAGACGTCTCAGCAGCTGCCCCTGGCCGAGGGGCCACAGGCTGCCACCCTTCTCCTACTTCAGAGCCCTGACGGCCCCGAACAACAGGCTTTCTTGACGGACGCCCCACGCTCCACGTGGGGATCTCTGCTCCCCAGGGTCCTCGCTGCCTCTGGCTGCCTTTGGACAGCGGGGCAGGAAATGCTGGGGGCCTGGCAGGGGGGCTGACAGCCCGCATCCCCAGGTTAGCAGCCCCACGGTAGGGGAGTGGACAGCTGTCACAGAAGGCGGCGGCTTGGTTACCACGCAGGGCACACGGGCACCATCAGAGGATGTGGTGCCCCACACGCTGCTCCGACCCCAGCCAAACCCGCCTGCTCGGCTGTCTCCTAATCCCACCGCTCGGGGCTGAGGGCCCAGGCCACGGCGCATGCACTGAGAACCGGCCTCTCCAGGGCATCCCCTGCAGGGGTCTCAGCACCGGGCAAGACTCGCACCCTCAGAGAGGGTCCTTCCCACGCTGCTCAGCTGCCCGTGCGCAGGCGGGGGTGCAGCTGGCTTTGCTTTAGGAAAGCTCAGTGGCGCAATTGTCTGATGTCAGAAGGGGCTCCGTGGCCTCTGCGGCTCAGCATGGGTCCCGCCCGCTGCACTGGTGCTTGGGGAAGCGGTTGGAAATGCAGGTTCCCAGCTCCTCACAGACAGACTGTGTCAGAAATTCAGGGGGTGCTGCAAGGCTTCTGTGTCTTATGGTGTCTGGGATGAACTGGGAACCACTTTCTGCATGAATCCACTGTGTCAGGGTACATAGGGGACTGGTGGAGCTAACGCACACCCTAAGCTCCCACTACCTCCCCAAAGAGCCACCTCGAACTGGGCCCGTTAGCAGGCCGGGCACGGACAGCAGGGGCTCACCGAGGGGTTCTTCCATGGCGTGTGGGGCCCTGGGGGCCCTGGTGCCCATCGGCCCAGCGCGCAGCCTGTAGACCTGCTGGAAAGCATGTGTGGCCTCTGAGACAGCCCTTCTCAGGAGCAATGCACAGAAGCTTGCAAGGCTGTGTATTTCCTTCCAGTCTGGTTCGGGTCCCGGTGTCTGGGCCTTAGAAACACTGGGGCCTGATCCACACACCAAGCTTCGCAGCTTGCATTTCTAACCACATCACGAGTGTTTTCCCGGCGGACAGCTTGCTTTTCCTTAGACAGGGGTGTGCCCGTTGAGCAGCCCAGGGTGGGCTGTGAGGACACTCCAGGTGTTAGTGTTGCGAGCAGCCCCATGAGACTTGTAATATGGGTGTCTTTGCCCTGCACCTGATGGTCTCCTCAGAGTGCGTAACTGGAAGGTGTGGCTGGGCTGGCGTTCGGAGCTCATCTTCACAAAACTACCACCTGGTGGGGGGGGGGCCGTCCCACTGGGAGGACCCTCTGGCTTTAAACTGCAGTGGGCAGACATGCCCCTGGGTGCCCAAGCGCCCAGGAGATGAGAAGCCCCACCCAGTACCAGAGATGAGTAGCTGGCCAATGGTGGCAGGGCTGGGGCTGATGAGCACCTCAAGGGGACAGGCCCCCTCAGACCCCAGTCCCCTCTGGGAGCATTTCCAAGTGGTTCAAGGGCAGATCCCACTGCTGCCCATACCCTCTGCAGCAAGGCACACTCCCCCCGGCTCTGGGGTCCACTGCCCACCCCGGGCCTGGTGGTCTTACTGACGCTCCTGCCAGCGAGGTCTGGGACTGTGCACCCCTGGGATCAAGTAGACTGGACGTACCCTCACTGTCACTTCAAGTTAGATGGGAGCAGAGCCCCCCAGAGGGCACACTCTCTAGCTTGCTTTTCCCTGTTTATGCAAGCACAATATGTCCATTATCAAAATGTAAATGCCTTACACACACAAAGCTATTCAGTATCAACTTTCTAAGCCCCAAGAAGGCTAGTGGGCCAGCAATGATTGCTTTTTACCTTAAAAGGGGACAGTGGCCCAGACAGGTGATGGGGCTCCCTGCGCCTCCTGTCCCAAGGCAGAGATGCCGCAAAACTGGCTCACTCAGTCCTGGACTTCTCCGGGTACTAAAAGTAGGGGTGCTCCCTAAGGAACAGTCTAGGGGTCACCTTGGGAAAACGACGGTGATCTGGAATGACTCATTTTTTCCTACAGCCCCAAGGGTGGCAAGAGTTGCATCGACACCATGGCCATAGACACCCACGGCCTGAGAAAGAAGGTCAGCAGAGCAACGTGCCACCCGGCAGCCCGAGCCATCCTCAGCAGCCTGCTGCTCTATGTCACCGGCCACGAGGACACAGGAGCCCCCCAGGGGCCTCCTTCCGCCAAGAGAGCAGAGGTTGGAGACAGCGAGGCGAGCCCCACGTCTGAGCCCCAGGATGCCCACAGGCGGCCCACGCGCTTCCAGCTCCTGCAGGCCAAGTTCATGGGTGCCGGCCGGGAGCACCTCAAGAAGACCCGGGAGGTGGGGCGACTGATCTTCAAGGACAGGCAGGGCTCAGGCAGGAGCGTGGTGACCACCACCATCAACAAGCTGCTGGAGAAGGCCAGGGAGGGGGCCAGCGGCCGGGCACCAGGCCGAGAGCCACTCTTCAGGGAGAAGCCGCGTTGCAGCCTCCCTGCCGGGAGGAGCCCCATGAAAAGCATTCTGAAGGTGTTCTTGGCCGCAGAGGAGAAGGAAGCCGAGGAGAAGGAGGCACGGGAGAAGCCCAAAGCCGCCAGGGGCCCCCCGCCAAAGACAGCAGGAAAGAGGGGCTCCATCCTGTCCAAGCTGCGGGAGAAGTTCGAGCAGAGTGGCTCTCTGTGCTCAGAGGCCAGGGTGCTGCTGCTCCGCAGGGACGACCAGAGGAAAAAGCGCACGCACAGGCCCAGACCGCCGCGGTCCGAGGCCCGCCTGCTCTGCGCGGCCACCATGGCCAGCAGCTGCGTCGGGACGCCCCCCGCCCGCTTCCTGGCCTGCGTGGCTGAGCCTGTGCTGGCCTTCAGCATTGCCATGGTGGTCTGCGGCCCCCGGAGCTGGCTGTCCCGCTGTGCCAAGATATGCCGGGCAGATCGGGGGCATGTGCTGAGAGGAGAACCGGGCGCATCCCCCAGCACAGGGAACAAACCAGCAGGAAAGGGGGGTCACGGTGGGGAGCCCTCCCAGCCCCAGGCGGCCTGGGACACAGCTCCCAGGGACAGCCTGGAAACAGCAGTCCCCACAGGTGACACGGTGCTGAGGGGAGTCAGGGCAGGCCTGGACCCTGGGCTCCTGGGCAAGGGCACCTGCACTGAAGACGCCCTGGCAGTCTGCAGTTTGGCGGGTGAGGCAGAAGGACTAACTGCGCGCTTGGAGCCCGAGGTTGGCCTCTTCACCCAGAAGGGCGTCCCAGAGAAGAGGGCACGGAGGCCCAGCCCGCAATGCGCAGAGCGCGTCCCCCAGCCTCCCGGCGGACCTGCCCGACTGCAAGAGGCACAAGGAGACGGGCGCCCTCACCGTCTGGGGGGAGAGAGCGGGGTCAGAAATGCACAGGCACCGTTTCCTGCTGTGCCGGAGCGCGAAGGCCACCAGGTGGCCACGCCAGGGCTTAGCGGGCCTGTGGGTACACGTCAGGGCCCACAGGCCGGCCAGAGCCTCGTGCCTCCTCGGGGTAATGGGGATGCCCCAGAAGCAGCCCAACCCAAGCCACAGAGAAGCGGCCTCGGGGAACAGGAGGAAGGAGGCGGCCAGGGGCAGTCGAGCAGGCCAGGGCGTGCTGGGGACCGGCTCAGCCGGGCAGAGCACCGCATGCCAGACCACCGCATGCCAGACCACCGCATGCCAGACCCAGATGACAGGCCAGTCCTCCAGGCGGGAGCCCCGCCACCTTGCTACATGGCCTCAGAGAATCATCCGCAAGAGCCCTCTCCTGGGGAGGGAAGCTGGGTGGACGTCCCTGCACCGCTGGTGGCTCAGGCAGGGGTGAGGATATGGGAGGGCTTGCCCGGGGTGGTTGCGACAGTCCTGCATGGGTGGGAGTGCAGGGGACTGCCGCTGCCCGTGTCGGCCCGGCCCCTGTGGGGCCCCATAGGGAGCGCCGACCATGACTCCAGCCAGAACAGAGCTGCCTCCCCAAAAGAACACCTGAAACCAAGCGCCACAGCCCCTGGACGGGTGACAGCTGCGGGGACCACTGAGAGTCACACAGTGCCAGCACCAGGTGCCATCCCGAACCCCAAAGACTGGCCAGCCAGAGTGGGGAGCACCTTTCACGAGGGCCATGGCGACTCCCCATCGAGTCACAGCCTTGTGGCCGAGGCCCCTGTGGGCATGCCCAGCTGCCTTGTCCCCAGGGGACTCCTGGAGCACCACAGCCACCCGCCTGTGCCCTCGAAGCCTCCATTCCCAACTGCCCAGCCCCAGGCAGGCGCCGCCTACCACCAAGCCTCTGGGGGATCCGCAGCAGGAAGGGAAGCTGCCTTGGCCTTCCCAGGGAGCCCCCAGGGGGACCCCAGAGCATCCCCAGAGCCAACCTCCCCTCACCCCGTGCCCCAGGGCAGCAGTGCAGTGGGGCCTCAGCACCCCAGTTTGGGCAAGCTGCTGTTGCCTTCTGAGAACTGCCAGGCCCAGCATGGGACCCATGTGGTGCCCGAGGAGCAGCTTCCCCCTGGCGCCAGGCCTTCCTGCCTGCTTCCCTCAGGGCCAGCCGCCACAGCAGAGGGGCAGTGGGTGGTTGGGGTGTCCCAGCAGTATCCCAGCCCCCAGGCCCCACTGCGGCCCAAACTGCACACACAGGCTGGCGTCCCGGAGGAAGAGGAGATCAACTGGAGTCCCCGGCCTCGGGTGGGCCTGGGGGCACCAGAAGTGGGGGCCTTGGGGCCCATGAGGCCTGACAGTCCTGGTGAGAAGGGGGTGGCCCCACAGGGCCAGAAAGCTACACTGCGTGGTGCTAAAGAGGGTCAGTCCTGGCCCCAGGGTGCCCTGGTGGGGAGTGGCACTGTGGCCACTGGCATGGAGCCTCCCAGCCCACACACCGGGGAAGGCCCAGAGCATTGGCAGGAATGCTGGGAACAGCACCCAGAGGAGCCCCTCAGGGGACATGCTGTCCTGGCTGGAGAGAACCAAGCACAGAGGTCCCCAGAGAGGCCGGGGTTCCCAGCACAAGCCCAGGTTGGCAGGATGGTGCCCTGTGACCTGGCGGGGCCCATGGGCAGCTCTGCTCAAGTGGCACCCACTGTAGGCATGAGCGGGAAGTCCCAGGGACTGGCTCGTGGGAGTGGCCAGGGAGGCCCCCAGATGCTGGGCCGGGTGGAAGAAAACTGGCCCCAGGGGTTCAAGAGCCAACCAACTCCAAGACCCCAGCCAGTGCCAGGCTCTGCAGTGCCTGCGTCCCATGCCCCATACCAGGTTATGCCCCCAGAGGACCCCAGGGTGGGGAGAGGGCACGTGCCCCTGGAGGACCCCGGGGTGGGGAGACAGGGTGTGCCCCCAGAGGACACTGGGGTGGGGAGACAGGCTGTACCCCTGGAGGACCCCGGGGTGGGGAGATGGGCTGTGCTTCCGGAGGACCCCAGGGTGGGGAAACAGGGTGTGCCCCCAGAGGACACTGGGGTGGGGAGATGGGGTGTACCCTGGGATGACACTGGGGCAGGGAGAGGGCGTATGCCCCCAGAGGACCCTGGAGTGGGGAAAGGGCAGGTGCCCCTGGAGGACCCCAGGGTGGGGAGACAGGGTGTGCCCCTGAAGGACCCTGGGGTGGGGAGACGGGGTGTGCCCCGGGACAACACTGGGGTGGGGAGAGGGCATGTGTCCCTGGAGGACCCCAGGGTGGGGAGATGGACTGTACCCCCGGAGGATCCCGGGGTGGGGAGACGGGCTGTGCCCCCAGAGGACCCTGGGGTGGGGAGATGGGGTGTGCCCCCAGAGGACCCCGGGGTGGGGAAATGGGGTGTGCCCCCAGAGGACCCCAGGGTGGGGAAATGGGGTGTGCCTCCAGAGGACCCTAGGGTGGGGAGAGGGCATGTGCCCCCGGATGACCCCAGGGTGGGGAGACAGGGTGTGCCCCCAGAGGACCCCGGGGTGGGGAGAGGGCATGTGCCCCTGGAGGACCCCAGAGTGGGGAGACAGGGTGTGCCCCTGAAGGACCCCGGGGTGGGAAAACGGGGTGTGCCTCCAGAGGACCCCAGGGTGAGGAGAGGGCATGTGCCCCCGGACGACCCCAGGGTGGGGAGACAGGGTGTCCCCCTGAAGGACCCCAGGGTGGGGAGACGGGGTGTGCCCCCAGAGGACCCCAGGGTGGGGAAACGGGGTATGCCACCAGAGGACCCCAGGGTGGGGAGAGGGCGTGTGCCCCCAGAGGACCCCGGGGTGGGGAGAGGGCATGTGCCCCAGGATGACACCGGGGTGGGGAGAGGGCATGTGTCCCTGGAGGACCCCGGGGTGGGGAGACGGGGTGTGTCCCAGGACGACACCAGGGCGGGGAGAGGCCGTGTGCCCCCAGAGGACCCTGGGGCAGGGAGAGGGCAGGTGCCCCCCAATGACCCCAGGGTGGGGAGAGGGTGGGTGCCCCCGGAAGACCCCGGGGTGGGGAGAAGCATGTGGGGAGGCGACCAGCGTAGGAGGTCAGCACACCTCGCCAAGTACAGAGCGCAGAGCTTCAGCGACCAGAGGTCCTTTGATTTGTCCTTTAGACCAGCGTTTGTCAGGGCCGAGGACACGTTCGAATCGCCCAAGTGAGGCTCCGGCCGACCCTCCATTTCTGCTCCTTGCCGGGTGGGAGGCTCTCCCACCTCCCAGACAATCCTCATTCAGAGGCCTGACTGGCATTTTCCTTCCCTTCTCGCCATCCCCGAGCTAAGGGCATTCTGCCCGACGGGCTGTGGGGCTCTGCCTTCTCCTAGTGCGCACGCCGCCTCTTCTCCCGAGAGCGGACGGGCCTGGCAGAGCAGCGTGCCTGGCCCCCAAGCGCTGTCTCTCGGACGCTCTTTATTCCATCGGGGGCGTCTTCATGTGGCCAGTGCCCGGCTCACACTCCTGTCTCTGCGGAACGGTGTTGTGCTAGCACGCTCCTGCTTGGTGCGCCTCCGTCCTGCCCCACGTGGTGGGCTCAGGCGGCTTCAGCCTTTGAGGTACTTTTCCCTTTTGGGTCACCAGCAGACGCCTTCATGGCTGGTGTCATGGTGCCCCTGCCTTGCTCACACAGCCTGTGCAGCCCCCTGGACACGACATGAGCAGGGGAGTCGCCCGGAAGGTGTCAGGTGTGTACTTGCCCGGAATGTAAGCACAGACCCCAACCCCAGCGGCCCAGCACATTCAGGAAGGATGAGCTTCGGTTCTCCCAAGCAGCTTCCCGGGGTGGCCTGTGTCCCTGACCCCCACCTGACCCTGCCACAAAGCCAGAAGCCACCGTTCGGTGCACGTGTGGGAGCACCGATGGCTGACGTTACAGCTCCCTGTGCCCAGCACCCTCGGCAGGGCTCTCTGAGCAGGAGGTGGATTTCTGCTTGGTGATGACCTCTGGGTGTTCGCTGCCTTTGAGCGGAGCATGGTGGTAATGGTGCCGCAGGAACGGCCTCTGCCTCCCGTTTGAATGGTCACTGAAGAGCTCTGACCGGGTGCTGAGTGAGAACTGGGCTTGTCACTGATCTTACTAGGCGAGGCCTGAGCTGCACGGTGCCTCCTCCCGGGAGGTGGCCCTGATGTGACAAAGTGCACGGTGGCTTAAGGGGCACAGGGCTTGGTGGGGGCTAAGCCGGAGGCAGGCAGGGTCACTTCCTGCCGCCTGCCTCTCTTCAGTCAGGCTGTTGATTTAAAACCCGGCAGACTGGAAATTCCTGGAACTACGTCAGGTGCATGGGAGGGCCAGGAGGGTGCTGGGCGGCCTTGGACAGTGGGGCAGTGCTCCAGGCCCAACTGTGAGGCTCTCTGCCTGGCTTGCTGCCTGGCAGTGTGAGTTGGTGTGTCTCACAGTCCCCTGCACACGCAGTCTGGGCAGCTGGATGAGGACCCCAGCCTCTGGGAGGGGGACCCAGGAGGTGCCTCTGTGGCTGCACTTGTCTCCACCGGGGGTGGGGCCTGCGTGGAGGGGCGTAGTCTGTGGGCCCCATGGGCACTCAACCTCCTGGGGGAGGGGTGCCCCTCTCTCAAAGCACAGGCTGCGGTGCCCCTGCCCCCCGGGTTTCAGGAAGGCTGCATCCAGACGTGGCGCTGGCTTCCTGGGGCTGCACAGCCCAGGAGGTTCATGAGACAGACACACAGGGAGGGCCCCACAGAGCGCCCAGACACAGGCTTTTCTGGTCCCGTGGACCACACCCGCTCACACCCAGGGTGTCTTCGCAGGGATGGGGAGGTGGCTCCCTGGTGCTGCACGGGCAGGCGCCGTCTCGTCTGCCTTCTCCACTTACACTTCGTCCCACAGAGGATTTGAGGCACGGAACACGGTGGTGGAGGAAACAGACTGCATCCACTGGGTGTTCCCTTTGTGAGATGAGCAGTTTTGTGCTGCTTTTAAACAGACCCGGGAGTCTGCTGGGGAACGCATGGAGAGGTGTTACCCGCCATGGTGGAAAATGAGGGCTCCCCCTCTGGACTGCAGCCCTGGAGGCGGCACGCCGAGTCCCCGGGCACACGTGGGGTGAGGCGCTCCCCGGCCTACCGGCCCCCTGCTCGCTGGAGGGACCCTGCCTCTGATTCACCAAATACGGCGGCAGGTTTCCAGGTCCCACTGCCCTCTGTACATGGTGCCAGAGGAATGCCACCAAAAAGAATAGGAGAATCCTCCCACTCGAGGACTCACAGCAGGCGGCACGTGTTCCCGTGACACAGACCACAGAGCAGGGGCGCAGTTGCTGAAAAGTGGCCGGGGCTCCCAGAGGAAAGGCCCATGGGTTGGAGCTCGTGGGGCACCCTCGTTCGTAGGCACACCTGCCAGCTCAGTGTCGCCCCCCAGTGGTCTCGATAGGGCGTCTCTGCCATGTGACTCAGGGCCTGAATCACGGCACTAACCTGCAGCTGGCCACTCACTGTTGTTGCATCATCTTCCTCTGTGTGCACCGACTCTAAGATCAGTGTTAGAAAGAATTGCTGGATGTATTTTGTTGTATTCCCTCCTTTGAATTTTTACTAACCTAATTCAGCTGCAAATCATTTCTCAGATGGTAATAAAATATATTGCCCATCACAAACCTCTTCTTTGCTCTGTGAGGGGCTGGGCAAAGAGGGTAAGGCTTTCTGGTCAGAAGGTAGCTGTGGGCAAGGAGCAAGTGACAGAGAGACGGGGCACTCCTTGGTCCTCCGGGAGGCCACCCCGCAGAAGGAGAGCCCCTTGGTGAGCTTAGGAAAAGCAAGCGGGGCAGGATGACCTGGCCCACCTCCCGGCCAGGCCACGCACGCAGGGCGCCCACTGGGCTGGAGCGAGAGCAGCCCCAAGACGCCAGGCACGGGCACGGGACGTGGCGCCTACTTCCCCGCAGGCTCTTAGTGTCAGGGGAGAGGGACAGCGCCCGTCCACGGGAAGAGCTGCCGGGGCTGAGCCTGCACCCCTGTCCTCCCAGAGCGCCTGAGGCGAGGTCCCGAGGCCCCTCTCCTTTCCCCAGGAAGGACTTCCCATGGGAATTCGCTCCGAGGCTAGGAGCCGCCTGGACATCCTGAATCTGTGGGAGACTCAGGCCCCTTCCCCTAGAGGAGCACAGGGTCTGCCAGGAAATGGTTTCCGCACACAGAGCGCTTCTGACACCAGATGTGTGGGTTTCCCACACCAGGCAATTCCACAGCTCGTGGGCACATGGGCACTACAAGTCAGCTCCCTTCTGACGCCGACTGCCGGGGTCAGTGCAGCCCACAGGCTGAAGACTCAGAAGCCCCAGACTGCCCCCTCCTTAGGCACCAGCCACAAGACCCCTCTTCCCACACTTCCATCCAACTTGGCTGCAATTCGGGGTTCCCATGACCTCTCCGCAGGCTTGAAATTTGCTACAACATTTCACAAAACTCAGAGAAACACTTCCTTGTGTGTATGTTTATCATAAGGGATACATGAGCAGCCAGCGGCCAGCAGCGTCCCGGTGGTAAGCGTGGTGGCTCCCAGAAGCGGGGCCTCGGTCCGTCAGCTGGGAGAGGCTGCTTAGCCTGGTGGCGCCACCCGCCCACAGACCCCGACATCCCCTGAAGGCCACTGACCTTGGAGTGGAACCCGCATCTGGCCCAGGGTGACTCCCTTGCCTGCCCCTTCTGCCAGGAGTCTTGTGTCCATCCCTGGAGCAACTGCCTGCCCGCTGGAGTCGCAGAGTAAAGCCGGTAAGATCCTTCAATTGGCTCTGTTGAGTTTTGTCTTCCAACAAGTATGACTGAAACTCAGCGAAGCACAGGGGCCACAGGGAGCCCTCACCTCGCACTCCACGCCGTCCGCAGGGGCCCTTCGGGACACCCCCAAAGTAGGCACCAATGTCTCCCAGAGCCCACTCCCCTACACCGAAACGCCATGCCCAGACCCCCACCAGCCGCCGCGGGCCGCCCGCCCTGCAGCGAGGTGGCCTGCCCACGGTGGGGCGGGTCCCACCACCCACCACCCACCACGCAGCCCAGGAGTGGCACTGATCACAGAGCCTGAGCTGGGGCGAGGGCACTCACGAGACGGACGGAGGCAAGAGGGCGCTGGCCGCCACGCTGGCAACCAGAACCGGTTAGAGACAGGCTGGAGCAGGCACTCCCGTGGGGCCCCAAATGGTGCCATTGTAAAGCAATCAGGCGATAAATGTCAAGAACCTTTAGAAAATGCGGGTCCTCAGCCCAGCAATTCTTTTCTATGAATCATATTAACGGAACATTGCCTTCTTAATAAAAATGTATAAAACAATCTGAACCGTGTGATATTATTCAAGACAGAGACACACATGGCATGCATGTCCAGAGATCGGTGGAATGAATAATGGCACATCCAGTCAGCGAGAGGCTACAAGTCATTTAAATGGTGCTTAAGAGCAGTTTTGTGAGGAGGAAAATACCTTGCCATTTATGTTCAAAGTCTAATCCTGGAACATAGGCAGAACATGAAGTACCTGGACAGGCTGGAAGCAGAATGGAATGCAGGAGGGTGCACGGTGCCCTATGGGGTGGGTCTGGGCACCCTTCCCTCCCTCCTAAGTTAATTAAAATGGGTCTGAATCACTTTGATAACCTGTGGTGTCAACACCTGGGATGTGGGCAGGAGTGGCACCCACCCCACACCTCTGCTCTGAGACTTTGCCCAACTTACCAGACTTCTGGGCTCAGCCTCGCCTCTAACTGGGTTGGAACTGGTCCCGCCGGCCTGACTGGGGTCATGTGCTGCCTGCAGGGAGGGCTTGGCGAGGTGGAGGCGTGGTGGTGGTTGCAGCATGCTTTCCTGACATCCAACTCGACGTGGAGCCCTGGTCTGCCCAGCCCACCCTCTCAGCGGGCTCATGCAGGCGAGGCACTCATGTGGCCTCCCAGCCACACGCTATTGGCCAGGAAACCTCAGTTCTGGAGTGATGGAGCCGTGGCTGGCTCCAGGGCCACCGAAGGGCGCTGCTGACTAGGGGAGTCCTGTGGGCTGCCACGTGAGGCCAGCCTGAGATCTGAGACCTATGGGGCTTGGCTGGACCCAGCCCGAGATGAGCCAGCCTGTGGGCGCCTGCACACACACGTCTGCGTAGTTTTTAGCTCCCTGGAGCTGCCTCCGCAGAACACAGAGCAGCAGACTGCAGAGCTCTGACCTTCCTGTACGGTCCACGGGGCCGCTGTGGCCTCAGGCCAGGACAGAGCTCTGCGGCCAGCAGCTGGCTGAGTCCCGCTGTGCCACAGACCAGCTGTGCAGCCTTGGCAAAGTTCTTTGTGTATGCATGTGTGTGTGCATGTATGTTGGTGGCTGGGTGTGTGTGTGTGCACATGGAGGTTGTCTGCAAGTAGAGATCATGTGTGTGCGTGCACATGCGTGCACCTGTTTTTTCCACTCTAAAATGATAACCCTAGCACCTCTTTTAAGGGGGTGTGCAGGCATTAGGTTAGGGAGCACGTGGCTCTGAGCACCGCCTGTCAGTGTGGCAGTTAGGGCTGGAACAGCAGGAGCGGGGTCCCAGCGCTCACAGCAGCCATGCCTGGGAGCTGGCCATCGGCACCCACCAGCAGTAGGCAACCTCCCAACCCTGCCCCTCTGACTGCTTGCTCATTCTTTCTCCAAGCAGCGCCTCAAACAAGTCCTGGGACTGCAAGCACAGTTAGTTTCTAATTGATGCGGTTCCCTCAGGTCACTGCGAACGATCCACCTGACTTCTTGCTGGAGCACCAGGACCAGAAAGTACACGGAATGCACTTTATGCCGGCTCACTCCCGAGGCCTTGGCCAGGACTTCCAGCCTGTGCAAACGCGCCAGGGAACCCAGAAAACCTTCAGGATGCTTTTGTAGATAAGACCAAAAACACAGCAAGTTTCCCGCCTCATTGGGTTGGACACATTTGTTGCAAAGATTATGCAGATGTTACTATTTCACCTCCTCAGAAAAGCTCAGGGGAGAAGAAAGAAAACCTCTGACTGGCAATGAAGCTGGCGTGCATGGAGACTAAACCCGGCTGCAGGGGAGCAGCGAGACCATCCCGTAAGTCCATAGCCAAGAACACGCCCGAGTTGTGTGTCGCAGGGAAGCCACTTGCAGGAGATGCGCGCTCCTGTGCATGTCGCCCCAGGACGGCAGAGGCGGGGCATCTTTAGTGAGAAATTGCCATCAAATACCGACGACTTTATATAAAAACCACAGTGCAGGGTGGGACCTGTAGTGGTTGCATAAGCGGCACTGATTCAGTAAAGCCCTGAGCAGCCCAGTTTTTAATACTGACCATTTGTTTGACACTGGCATTATAGGGGATGTTCAAAGACACCCTCATAGGAGCAAAATGTCACCAAGTAGGACCAGCTGTTATTTATGGAAGCAGCAGGTGGATTCCCCAGGACTGGGGTGAGGCTGGGAGCCACAATCCTGAGGATTCTCTTTCCTGTGGGGTCTGACAGTTTGCTCTGAGGTTTGCTCAGCCCTTTGCAGGGTGCCCAGGACTGCTGAGCCCACAGACCCAGACGCAGAGGACACCTCAGAGGCCCCGACAGCCAGAATTCCTACTGTGAGATGTGTCAGGCTGCTCTACACCTTGAAGGGTTGGAGTTCACATTTAAACAGCTCATGAGTGATGCAGTTGTGCTTCAACTCCCCATCACTGCAAAAATGCCTTTAACGGCTGCTTAGCTGCAGGTGTGGTGAACCAGCCACCCCGGAAAGAGCCAAGCCAACCTCCTTCCTGTCTCTAAGAACTTCCATCCAAGGACATCTCCAGGTGGCCTTTAAAAAGGTACATGCAGTCCCACCTGAGAACAGACAGTGGGCAGGCGTCTCTTGCGTGCTCTTCCGTATATTTGAAATAGTTCATAGCTTTCTTAATCTTAAAAGGAAAGTGTCTGGACTTTATCATCTAGTGGTAGCCATTGAACAGATTAAAATATTTTGGGTTTTATGTTTAAATATTTCATGGTTTCAGGCTGAACTGGGTGGTCTGTGGGAGGGCAGGAGCCAAATTACAGGCTTACCAGAGGGCCTAGTCCCAACACCCACCATGCAGAACCCTGTCGGGGACCCTGGAACCAGAGGGAACCACCTCCCTGGGAACACAGGGATGGGGAGACAGGACTGACTGGAAGCCTCACCACGCGACCTTAGGACTCACTGCCTTACCTTGGGGCTACTCACTATGGGGCCTTGGGCAGGATGAGTGACACTCGCCCAGACGCCCAGCTGCCATGGCACAGGCCGGTCCTCTGAGCTCTCCCAGCTCCTCCCCAAAGGCAGGGCCCAAAGTAAGAACAGCTGAGGTCCTCCTCAAACTGGTGCACTGCCCGGACACAGCTGCCAGGACAGATACCCTGGGATGTGCCCCTGCCTGCAGGTACTTCACTCAGTCGCACGGAGGTGTATGTGCTGAGTTTTGTAAAGGAAATGATGCTAAGGGGGCACTAGAGATTTTTAAATTGAAACGTATTTTTTAGGCTTGCATTTACCCTTAGTGATTGCAGGGACCTTGGGTCTGTCTGTCTGGTTGGCTGGTGGGACACGGAAATCCCTCAGAGGCTTGTGCTCTTGTGCTTGGACGTGACTTTGACATGACCCTAATTCCAGCCTTGAGCATTGTTTCAAAGTTAATATTCCAAAGATTAGGTCCCCAGCGCAGATCCTTGACACTTAACCTGTGCGTATTCGCCACTTTCCCATCAGCTTCGGCGCCCCACATCCCACAGCTCCCTGAGCTCACAGGCCCCACAGTTCTCAGACTGAACCCAGGCTGGAGGCACAGAGGAGGGCCTGCCTTGCATCTTAGGTGCGGGGGCAGTTGGCGGGAGGGCGCACAGGGGCAGGTCAGTGCTGACCTAGGAAACCTCAAGGAAAAACACCCAGAGGCAAAGGGCACTATCGTTTTTCCGGTCGAATAGCCTCTTTAAGAAAAATTCCAAAGGAAAAGGGTCTCCTAACCTCTTGTTTAAAGAAATCTGGTCACAGCGTTTTGTGCGCTAACAGGCTGGCCTCCCCTGCAAGGCAGGCGGGCGGCGGACCCAGGACGTGCGTTTCCAGGTGTGAGGGACATGGTTTCCCTGGACAGGTAGCTTTCACATCATCAATCTGGGACGCATTTCCTTCTACTATTGTTCCTAAATCCCAAAGTTGGGAGGGTCATTATTTCCCACAGTAGAAGCATTTCTGAACGTGAGTGCATTTGGAGACAGGGCCTTTAAAGAAGTGATGAAGTCAAAACGAGGTCGCTGCCGCGGGCCCTGGGCCCCTCCAACTGGTGTCCTTAACAAAAAGGGTCATCAGGACACAGACACACACAGAAGGCCGGCCGCACGAGGACGCAGGGAGACGAGGCTCTGGAGAACCAGCCCCACCCATGCCTTCATCTCAGATCCCAGCCTCCAGACGGGTAGAAAAAACGTGTGCTGTCTAGACGCCTGGCTGGGGTGCTTCGTTGCCGCCCTGCCGAATGATCCTGCCCTACAGCTTGGGGTTCTGCAGAAGGATGGCGAGGAGAAAGGCTGTCCGCTGAGTGTGACGCCTGCCCTGGGTGGTACCCCTGTGCCATTCGCAGAATGTGTCTGTTCGGGCGGAGCAGTGGAGGTGCAGAGCGGCCCGTCCACGCAGACCCGATGGACACCTCCCTCCGGGTCCTCCCCGCGCTGCTCAGAGAGACGTGCATTCAGTGTCTCCTACAAAACCTGACT